CCTACAGGGCCCTGGCTTAAACCCACGTCTGTGTCACTGTTGGCCCGAAGAATTAGAAACCAGTATAGAACTGGTGTGGCTTATTCATTCCCCAACAAGTGTTTTTCAGAACCTGTGAAGCAGGTATTACTAAATGCTCACAGAATGGAAGCACTTCTCATGGGCCAGTCAGAAACAAACTCAGTGTCATGCCCTCTTGGTCAAATTTTTGATATCTCCTTCCCCAAATGCAGGCCCTCCCCAAGGTCTTCCCCCAGATCTCCACGGAATGCCCAACATGGAGTTAGCAACCATAAGAGGTGAAGAGGGTTGGTTCGGCCCCGAGCTCTGCGCAGCCAGCCCCCTTGGGGCCTGCCTGCTGCCCTTGGCCAAGGCATTGAGCTGAGATGCACTGCCTGCCACCGCCTCCTCTGAGCAGAGCATGTTGGGCTCCTGCCTGGGCTGTTGGAAAGATGACTGACTGTTCATGTGCAGCAGGCAGAATCTCTTTGGCCCACCTCCCCGAGCCCAGTCAAGTGGCTTACTACTTGCAGTTAGCCTAGGGAAGGCGCCTGTGGGGACAGACACCTATGGAAAGCTGATGGCTGGCTTGCCAAATGTGCCTGCTTATGTAAGCATGTGAATGGAGTGACTGGCCAGGCCAGGTCTGCTGTATGGGGCACAACGCATGCAGAATGCCAAGGGTTGGGGGCAGAGTGAACCACAGCCTGCTAATCGGCTGACCTAAATGTGCATGGTTCCTCTCCTGCCTCCCTCCTTGGGTAGTGCAGGGAGGATTAAAAGAGGTGAAGCTGAAACACACATATGCTCCCTGGGCTCCTTGCATGCAACAGTCTGAATGGAAGCGGGGGGGCAGGGGGTGAGGCAAAGGCCAGGGACAGGAGCAGGCATTCAGAAAAGTGCACTGAGTTTGCACACAGCAGAGGCAGGTGCTGGATGTGCTCTGTGTGTTTGTGCTTGGGGTTATGTTTTGGTGGTTGGATGGAGCTGGCAGGAAATAAAAGTGTGCAAAAGGCAATTAAAGTGGAGCTGGCATCTTTGGAGATTGCTTGAGGTGCTGAGAAGCATCACAGTCCCCTTGTGGTTCAAGCTTGTTGCTGGATTTGGAAGTTGGGGTTGTGCGGCTGCCTTCCCTCCCCAAAGCATGTTGACTGTAGCAGTTTCTTTAAGGCAGGGCTTGTTGATTTTCTCTGGTTGATGCCCTTTGGCTGCTGCACCTATAGCAATGGAAGGCAGCCCTTCATGATCCAGCTCATCAAAAGCTTGTGAAATGTGTTCGTCTTTAAAGAGCCACGAGAGTCTCTGGTTATTGCACCTTGATTGTCACACAATAGCTCTCTGTGCTGTCAAAACTTCTTATGCCAATTGAGCAAAGAGGTGCTAGTTTAGGTGCTGAGGAGGGGCGTGGGTCTGTCAATGGTAAAATATCTCTGGTACCTGGCATTACATTTCATGGCACACATGGCCCGGCCCGACAAAGTGACACTCATGTCAGATGTAAGAACTGAGTTCGATACCTCTGCTAAAGGCTTGTTAAACTAGTTTCCACTAGTCTGACTCCTGATTCCCCAGTGGTGTCCGTCTGGCCAAACTGATGGCCAACCCTTCATACCTATGGCCACGTGCTCATTCAGACTTTCTATGAAAGCCATATACTTGGTAACCATAACATCAGCCAGGAGGGACAGTGAACCCTCTGTCAAGCTCCCCTCTTCCATAAAATTTTCAACTTGAAGGAATTTTTGCATCTACCCCTCAAATTCCACTCCAAGATAGTTTTGAAATCTCACCTAAATCGAGATATCACCCTGCCAGTATTCCTTCCACAGCCATAGAGCAAAACTGAGCAAGCCCTCCACACTTCAGATGTCCAGAGGGCTTTACTATTACTTGAATAGAACCAAAAGTTTCAGAAAAGGCAATAACATATTCATCTCATATTCAGGCCCTAAATCAGGCCTAAGAGCTCATAACCCGCCTTCCAAGACTTCGTAATTGAACTTGCTACTATCACATGTGGGACTGCACAGGTACCACAATAATGAATCAGGGTTGTGCTTACCTGTAACGTGTTTATTGAGTGGTCACCTGTGCAGTCCCTCTTGCCCTGCTGTGAACTCTAATCATTATAATAAGTAAGACTAGCTCTCTTCAACAGCAGCAGTAAGGAACTGAGGGAAGGGCCAGAGGGACCCTCCTTTTACACTGGATAAGGCAGGAAAGCAGCATGGAAGAGGGGGAAGGAGTGTCCTCTAACGTGTATTAACTCGTATGATTGCACAAGTGACCACTGAGACAAGTTGTCGTTACCACATCTCTTGCTCTGTTTTGGATAATGATATTATACACAGTTTATTCTCTGCATATCCTTGTTTTGGTTTTTAGTATTCTGAGACTGACATCACAACCTTGATGAAATTTCTATCTTTACTTCACCGTCAGTGCATTTACCTTTTACTCTTTGAGAAAATCAGCAGTAGCCATGATTGGACTGGCTGGTTTGATGGTATAAAATTTAAAATGATGTATGCTCGTACTGTGTGTTTCTACTTAAAATAATTATTCTGTTGGAAATAGTTCTCTTACAGTTTAATGTAGTGGTTAGAAATGCGGATTCTAATCTGGGAGAACCAAGTTTGATTCCCCACTCCTCTACATGCAGCTGCGGGTGTGACCTTGGGTCAGTTACATGTTCTTTCAGAGCTGTTCTCACACAAGCAGTTCTCGAAAGAGTGCTGTCAGCTCCACCTACCTCACAGGATGTCTGTTGTGGGGAGGGGACGGAGATTGTAAGCCGCTTTGAGACTCTTTTGGGTAGTGAAGGGCAGGGTATAAATCCAATCTCTTCCTCTTCCTTTCTCTCTTCTTATTACATTTATTTTATAGTCACTGGGTGGGGAGCATTAAGGTTTAGTGTCTTTACTGAGGCCTTCAGAGCAGCAAAAGAAATACACCAATTTTACAAGCCCAGCCACCACTAACAGATTTTGAAATAAATTCATAGGATTAAGTAAACTGCTCTTGTAGAACATTACTGTTAAGTAATGCATTGCTAATAATATCTTATTCAAACAGTTTGCTTGCTGCAAGTGAAAACCTGAATTGTCTTTCTGGATTTGCCAGTTTCCCATTCCATAGGGACAATGGCATCTGTCTCTGGCAACCCAATGGTGATAGCTACCGCCTGTTTGTTCTTTGTATTTGATAGCTGGAGATTCTATTTTTTTAATATTAAAAATCTTACAATTTAGAATTCCATGTTTTGTATTGAAGGTTTTCTTCTTGGGAAGATTTTGAAGAGGAACATGGCAAAGGGAGGGAATTTGGCTATGCAAGTCTTCACAAAGAACTTGAACCTTTTCTGTTGAGGAGAGTTAAGAAAGACGTAGAAAAATCTCTGCCTGCCAAAGTTGAACAGATTTTAAGAATGGAGATGAGTGCATTGCAAAAGCAATATTACAAGTAAGTAATTTACTGGGAAGCCACTGCAGAACGCATGGATTGATATATGCAGTGCCATCTGCAATATAGTGTTCCTTGCCTATCTGTTGCTTGTTTTTGTTTCATATTTTCAACAGTTTAATTGTTGACCACATATTTTTATATCATAGGTGGATTTTAACAAGGAATTACAAAGCCCTAAGTAAAGGTTCAAAGGGCAGCACCTCAGGCTTTCTGAATATCATGATGGAACTTAAAAAGTGTTGTAATCATTGCTACCTCATTAAACCACCAGATGATAATGAATTCTATAATAAACAGGAGGCCTTACAGGTAAATGTTCATTTATCAGTTATTAAAATGATTCGTACGTGCCCAGCATATACATTTTTGTATTATAGTTTTCTGTCGATTATTGCCTGCTGCTAGTTGTTTGAGATACTGATCTCCAGAAATATAGTGTAACAGTACAAAATACTTGATTTCATAAACGGTATTATGAATCCATAGCATAACTTCTTAAATTCTAGAATATTCATGATGCTGGATGGCCAGTGACAGATGCATCTGCAGTAGCATGGGCCACTGTTGGAACTGGCAGACTTCGGGTCATTCTGCAGCCGGCCCCCAAGTGTGCTGGAAGAGCCTGGCAGAGCTCTACTGAATCCAAACAACCATGAGGAGGTTGTAGTGGGTGGCCTGCCCCATACAGACTCGGAGGATTCTGGGCCTGCAGGGAGTGAGAGGATTGGGGCTGAAGGTCAGACCTCCCTTTCTCTGAGATACATAGGGGCAGTGGGATAAGGAACTCCAGTGTGAACAGGGGTCTGATCCAGGCAAGGGTGGCAGTGTGGCAGAGCAGTTTCCCCTCCCTCAAGTCTCTCTGAGGCTTTTCCCAGTCAGTTCGGCAGTTCAAGAAAATTCTAGTAGGGCGGCTGCTCAGGTTCTGCCCACATTTTTTCTGCCCTTCCTCTGCAGATTGGAGGACACAGTCCTTTAGTCCAGCCTGGGCCTCCCCAATCCTCATGCGTATGCAACCAGGAATAATGTAGGCTTTTCAATGGCTAGGAGTACCTGGCCAAGTGGTGGCTGTGGCTGATCTCACCCATAGGTATCCTAGCACCAGCGACATCAGGAATCCTTTGAGAGCTAGTCAAAATAAATGTTCTCCCTCACCATCCATGTCAGGCTTGGGTTTGGGAGTGGAGGAGCTCCTTTCAACCATAGGATCTATGGCAACAAGCTTTGATAAAGAGGAAGGGGAAAGGTCAGAAAATTTTCCTAAGCCTTTCCTAGGAAAAATCATTTATTTCGATTTATAATTCGCCCTTCCCCTATAAACAGGGCTCAGGGTGGGGAAGGACATTTCCAACAATATACACAAACGGTTTAAAATTAAATTGAAGTAACCTTAACAATTCAACTAACAATTTCAGATGGTAGAAAAAGACACAATTTAGAATCCTTTTCCCAATGGGGAAGAAGGAAGGAAGGAGCCAGGCTAGCTAGAAAACCACTGCTGTCCTCAACCATAGGCCTGGTGGAACATCTCTGTCTTACAAGCCCTGTGGAACTGCATTAGGTCCCATGGGGCATGGATGTCATTCAGCAGAGTTCTACCGGGTTGATGCCGGGGCTGAGAAAGCTCTGGCTCTGGTTGAGGACAGCAAGATACTTTTGGGGCCAGAGATCACCAGTAGGTTTTTCTTCCTTGAGTGTGTTCTCTTTGGGGGAGATTTATTTATTTATTTATTTAGATTTTTATCCCGCCCTCCCCACAAAGTCAGCTCAGGGCGGCTTACATAACCAGTATAAAACACTGCAATGTAACAATAAAATATATAATATAAAAGCCATCAATACACAATTTAAAACTACAAATATTACGACATATACCAGGAGAGGTAATCCCGTAGATACTTCTAGACTTTTCCAGCTGGAACATTTCCAGAGATTAAAAAAGGAGTCTTTTCCTTCTCTTAACTACCAATTGGATAAAACAAAAAAACCTAGATCATCGGTTTCAACCGGTTTAGATACTAGAGGTTTTAAGAGACCTCCCAAAGGGTCCTCAGTTTGTCAATTCCCTGAATTCTTTGATTACATGCTAAAGGCAGAATGGGCAGTTCTGGGCAACAGCACTTTCTTGCAGGCATAGGGGGGGAAAGTCTTTGCCTTTCCAGCATGCAACATAGAAGACTGCGGGTTCTTCTGCTAAACTCTCCAGTAGTAGTCTTACATTCAGAAGCAGTTTTGTCTAAGGTTGTGGACAATGCATTTAAGGATTCCGTGGATAAAAATAATAATACTAATGAGACGGCCCTAGGGAATCCCATGAAGCAGCCTCTCTGACAATCTGATCGCCTGCCATGCTCTCAAATTTCGCCAGGGCCATCATGGTTTGGGCTGATAAACCTCCTACAAAAGCTAGACACTGACCCCTTGACGCTTAAGTGATCTATACTGAAGATTAAAAGGGATGCAAAATTTGCAGCAGACGCATCCCAAGAGTCCATGCAGTTCGGTGCCAGAGCACAGGCCACCAATATACTGATTATAAAGAAACTCTGGCTAAAGCATTGGAAGGTGGACCCTCTGTCTAGTCCAGATTTATCTGCATTAAAAGAAACACACACAAAACCAGAAAAATTGGAAGCAAAAGCGTTTCAAAGCCAGTTTGGTGTAATGGTTAAGTGCGTGGACTCTAGTCTAGGAGAACCAGGTTTGATTCCCCACTGCTCCACTTGCACCTGCTGGATGACCTTGGGCAAGCCATAGTTCTGGCACAGCTGTTCTTGAAAAAGAGCAGTTTCTGTCACAGCTCTCTCAGCCCCACCTACCTCACAGGTTGTCTGTTGTGGGGAGGGGAAGAGAAAGGAGTTCGTAAGCCGCTCTAAGACTCCTTTGGGTAGTGAAGGGAGGGGTATAAATCCAATTTCCTCTCTTCTTCTTCTTCCTACACTTTTGGCTATGGGTCCAGATTCCAGCAGAGACAGTTCCCTCCTAACAAACTGGACTATATGGGGGGGGGTCAGTTCCAGCAGTTTCCCCACATCTGGATGGAGTCTATGACCAGCCAGTGGATACTTGCCATCATCCCCCTCTCCCATCCCCCCCCCATTGCTTCTGTGCTTCCCCAGTTTTCAAGCCAGAACAGAGACACCTTTATTCTGTTGTGACCTATTCAACATTTAGGGCACATAGGGGCAGTGGAACCAGTGTCCTTAGAACAGCATTTCCATGGGATTTATTCCATTCTGTTTGTAGTCCCCAAAAGATCTGGGGACTGGAGAACAATTAAGAGAGTTGAAGGCATGGGTAAAGAAGCACAAGTTCCGGTTGGAATCACTTCACTACATTCTGCAGAGTATTTAGCAGGATGATCACATGACGTCCTTAGATTTTCAAGAAGCTTACCTGCATATTCCATCTTTCAGATAGTTCTTCCCTTTTTGATTTTGAGGGCCAGCATTTCCAATGCAAGGCCTTATCCTTTGGGCTGGCATCATCTCCAAGGGTGTTTACCAAGGTCCTGTTAGTTCCAGTAACCTACCTACAACAACAGTCCTTACCTGAATGACATCCTCCACAGAGCCAAGGAGGCAGAGTAGGTGAGCTAGGACACCAAGTCCACTATGCAATCTCTTCAGGCACACAGCTGCCTGAACAATGTGTAAAACAAAAAAAATCATCTAAGTGGATATAGTCCACTTAGGGGCCACAATTCATATGAGCATGGCCAAAGTGTTTCTACCTGCAAAGAAGCAGGTAAAATTGTTGGAAGGTGTGAAAGAAATCTGGGAACCTTTCTAAAGTGTTACTTACAAGCCTTGAGCAAACTGCCATTTGATCTTTTCAAATCATCAATGTCTAAAGTTTCTTCCTCAGAAGATGCCTTTTTTACTTGTGGAAATGACTTCTGCTAGAAGAATTTCTGAATTAAGGGCTGTACTGCCCAGGAAGGAATTGTGTATATTTCACAAGGTCTCAGTGGTACAGAGGAGGAATCCTTCCTTTGTGCCAAAAGTATTTTCCCCTATCATGTTAACCAAGACTTCGTACTACTGTCCTTTTGTTCTACACCATGTTATCCCACAGAGAGTCTGGCACAAACTAGACATGCCAGGACAAATTCCAGAACCGTGAAAACAATATATGACAATACTAAAGAATGTATTTAAAGTAACAAGTAACAAAGTGCATGTTTACAAAAAATAAATGTGCTTTATAAGTATACAACTATATTCATGTTGCCAATGCACTAAGGGCGCTAAGGTTCTTTGACTTGTGTGGCTAGCCAATAAACCACACAGTGAAAACAATCATCCAGGCGGTAAAGGGTAACGAGTATTTATTCGAATAAAGGAGCATCTCACAGCTTAATTCAGTGTGGGTGTTTAGTGAGCAAATACAGAAAGCAGACTTATATATTCTTCTTGCTCCTCCTCACTGTACATCATCACTGACATCACGTAAACATGCTCAGTTCAGATTTTTTTGTCTGGCCAGTCATCAATCACATAGTTGGCACACAGGATGTTAGTTGGCTGTGTTTCCACTCCTACAATGCAGGTGCAGCTCATTATTTTTAATTTACTATTTTGTTTACTTCTCTTGGCATTACTCCCAGACTCCTTCTGCCTTTGAATGAACTTTCAGGCTAAGTTCATTCTCAGTACTAAATTTTGTTAGTTCTTGTAATCAAAAATTAATACATACATATAGAAGTATAACAGCACTCTTAAAACATTCCTATAAGCTTATTTTCACTAACAAGTATACAAAATATGAAAACAATATCATTACAATGACATTCTAAAACATTAAACTCTTTACATGAATTATTTTAGTGTTTTAAAATAACTTATGGCATGAAGCTCTTGTAGGTGCATTGAATCTATTTTTTTAGTTTTCATTTTGGTTTATCAGAATATTTTACAGAATATTTTCTGGTCATTTTATGAAGCTTCTTCTATTAAAATTAAAGTTTATAATTTGTAAAACACATAGCTCAATACAAATTCTGTATTCCTAATTGACCCCTTTTAGTTGATGCCACGAGTCATGATTAACGACTTTTGTTCTTAGCTGAACTTACACACACCTGGTCATTATTTTTAACTTTCTACTTATTTGTTAGTAGCTGGGTACTCCTTAAAACTTCAAAGGGCACACTTCGGAACATCTCCCCTCGTTAGTTCTTTCAACTTAGTTTCTTTAATTGACCTGTCCATGATTTACGTTTTCTATGTTGGCCGGGTAATTTGTACACCTGCTTGTGTATAATGATCTCTCTTTAGGCAGTCTTTGTCTTAAGCTAAATAAACTTTTTTCTATTGCAGAACTTAAAATTGTTGGAGCTCTGATTTTTACAAACATCTTACATATATATTCAGCTTTAAACATAACATGAAGTTCTAAAACCCAAGCAATTATATCAAGAGAAGGGATTTCTCGCTTACACACACACACACACTCTCTCTCTCTCTCTCTCTCTCTCTCTCTCTCTATCTATCTATCTATATATATATATATCTGTCCTTTTGACCTAGTTAGGCTCTTATTTAAAAAGTACAAGATAGAACAATACATCTTAGAATTGGCAATAGTTTCTTTCCAATTAGAACTGCTGACATACATCTATTCAATTCATTAAGCACAGCTTTCTGCTATTCCAGTTAAAGATGCAGTCTTTTTATGATGCAACATCCCAAGCTAACATGGTCTGGGTTTCACTTATTTCTATCATTCACAAACCACTGCATAGGCTTTCATTGTCAGCTATAAACATTCAGAGTTGCTTTATAGTACCCTTAAAAACATAATATAAATGTTGCATAGAGAATACGATTGCACTTCACTTAACCCTATTCCTTGGCTTGGCTGGCACCTTGCCAGGTCAGTTTGACCAACTAATGGGAAATTGGCAAAGATTTTAACAAGGGGGAAACACACCTGCAATAGTTCCTAATTAAAAGAGTTGACACAAGAACATCCTTTTGTAACTCAAATACTCCTTTTTTCTTTCAAACAAGGGCTAGAAAAACATGTCAACTAAAGAATTATTTACGTCACTTGGCGTTATACAGTACAGTGCCCAGTGGTCTAAAACAGGATGTTAATTTTCCAGGAGAACCCCAAAGAATTTATCCCAAAGGGTTCTGTAAAACAGCAATAATCAATTAAAAAATCATTAGAACCCGGGGCCCTTCCTACATTCATATTCCATTCCATTGACTAACATACAAAAAACTTAACATAAAATTAGAAAAGTCCATTCCAGCTATCACAATACTATATGGTCAATCCTTAAATGAAGTAGAAATACATGAAGTCCATAAATACAAGAACTCTTGAAGTAAGATTATTCTTCTGCTTGGACTTCCTTGAGGGTTATGAAGTAACAACGAAACAAGGATCATTAAACCCAAAAGGCACTTGATATTTGCCCTTTCGAACTCTCTTTTTCAAGAACTGACGGTCCTTTTAATAATGTGACCAATAACAAGTGGTTTCAACAAGAACTTGACAGACGGAACGCAGACACCTTCAAAATTTCCCAGTAATAGATCAGTCATTCCAGTTTAGGATTTTCTGTCTGTGTTTCACAGCTCACAGCCTTTAGGTTAAAAACGTCTGAGGCCATGTTTCTGAAAGGCATATGAAGTGGGAGCGGTGGCGCAGGCTGTAAAAAGCCTGCAGTAATCTATCACCGAACAAGTCATAAGGCTGTTCGAGTCCCACCGCGGCCTGAGTGAGCTCCCGGTCCTTGTCCCAGCTCCCGCCCACCCAACGGTTCAAAAGCCCTTAGGCAAGTAGATAAATGGGTACCCACTGCTAGGAGCGGGGGGCACCTTCCTTCCTTGGAGTGCAGCGACAGTTGAGCGGTGGCGGTGGACAACGAGTGGCGACCCAACGAACATGGCGGTGGTCCGACGGCACAGCGGCGAGCGACCCGGGCGGAGATTGGTCCAAGGAGACGCGGCGACGTGGCGTGGTCGGAGCCAATGGGACAGAGACCAGCTGCTGCAGTCGTCACACAGCCGCGCGCCGTGGGGACCACTCCAGAAGGAGTCGCTGTGGGAAAAAAGGAAGACCTTTGCCGCGACACCGACGCCTGGAAAATAGAACCCGCCATGGAAAAAGAACAACAGAGGAAGATCACTGCTGCTTAGGTGCTTGGTAGGCTTTCACCCCTCCCCTTGCACTGTGGCCCTAGTTAGGTGATTTAAATGTCTATGTAAACCACTCCGAGCCCTCGGGAAGAAGCGGTATATAAATCAAATGTGTAATGTAATGTAATGCAAGGCCTGGGACCTCCAAAGGATGTTATGGCCCCACTACACCAGATCTGCAGCAGCACCAGCAACTTTTTCCACCAGGGTTCCAGTGGAAGAAATCTGTAGCCTCAGCCTGGTCCACTTTTTATACCTGTGTGAGCCACTAATAGGTGGGACCAGTTAAAATCTACGGAAGCTTCATCTGGTGGAAAGGTTTGCAACATAGTGCTGGAACAGAATAAAAATTAAAATGAGGATCTCACCCAGGTTGTAGCTTGGGCATATAACCAGTTTGAATGACTTTCCCCACTGAAGAAGAATGAAACACCTGAAGGTTTCTTCTCTTCAGTGGGGCGAAGTCCTCCATACCCCACCAGCCCCACAAAAAGTCTAGTCAGATACAAAATCCGTTATGGAGCTGGGCTATACTAAGACTAGAAGGTCAGCCTTGCTCTGAGCCAGTACAGTCTACACAAATTTGCATAGCCATGTCTGGAGCGAGAGCAGGCATGATCTAACCAGTTGGATGACTTTGCCCCACTGAGGAGAAGAAACCTTCAGGTAAGTTCCAGTGTTTTGTTTTTGATCTGTTTTTATGCTGGGTTAGGATTTTAATGTTGGATTTTAATTAATGTGTTTGAATGTTTTATTTTTATTATTAAGTTGACTCAGGCAGGTTCCTGGAAAGGTGGCTTTTCCCCCCTAAAGAAATAGTTGATTGATTCTTGGGAGGGAGTATGGGGGACGTGACCCAGGGACACTAGTCCCATCTTCTACCAACTGGAAATTGTATAGCTTGGTATTTGTATCTTCAGCAGACACCACTACCACCATTTTCAAATTTTTCCTCAGTAGTCACATGACGGAAAACACACTTTATTAAATAACGATGCACAGTCTAGAAAGCAATAATAATTCAAGGGGAAGAAATCTGAGAATCTCAGAGCTACCTCTTGCATTAACTTAACTGTCTGTCTTCCAGTCATGACATCAGAGAATTCTAGTGCTGAAAGTTGTGGAAAGGAACATATAAAATGAACAACTTTTTCGATGTGGTGTTTGGCACTATATCCTGATGTCTGTTTGCGTGCACAGTTACTGTTGCTGGATTAATTACTTGGATTGCAAAACTGTTACATACAGAAGTCACTGTCTTCCTTAAAGAAACAAGTTAGCCTTAGACATGTGATCTTTAATTGTGTATTGAATACAGCTTTCTAATGTCAACAAATGCTTGATTTATGGTTTCAGTCTTTGAACTGCTGCTAATTCTTTTAATATTCACTAACATTACCCCCTACTGTTGTGGCATACAATGATTATCTTTCTGAAGTCTTTCTTTCTTTTTTAAAGAATTTAATCCGTAGCAGTGGAAAGCTAATTCTTCTAGACAAGCTACTGATTCGCTTAAGGGAACGTGGCAACAGAGTGCTTATATTCTCTCAGATGGTGCGGATGCTGGACATCCTAGCTGAATATTTGAAATACCGTCAGTTTCCTTTTCAAGTAAGAGCTTTATTTTTAAAATGTGGGGCTGCTCATACATTTATTTCTGTTAATGGCAGATGTTGTGTACATACTTGAATAGTCTCAGTCTAACACTTCTTTTTCTTCACACAGAGACTAGATGGATCAATAAAGGGGGAACTGAGGAAGCAAGCACTGGATCATTTTAATGCAGAAGGTTCTGAGGTATCCTGTTTGTTTTAAAGGAATGTATTATTTTTCAGTTCAGGGAATGAAATCTGTGCTCTTGTTACATATAACCATAACATAAGCCTTCACCATTATATCTGTAACTTCAGATTGCAAGAAAACTTAGACTGGCACTTCAACTTTAAGCAACTAATACTTTTACTGAAGACAGACATTTTAATGTACATGAATTACTAAGAATAGGTTGATAGAATTTTCCTTTTTGTTAAGTTGTTTAAACAAGAACCTTGCCCAAAACATCAAAACATAATTTTCAGATGTGCCTCTTGCAGTTTTTATTTTAAATCCATTCCTTTGTCTTTATTTCAGGATTTCTGCTTTTTACTTTCAACTAGAGCTGGAGGTCTAGGTATAAATTTGGCATCTGCTGATACTGTAGTTATATTTGATTCTGACTGGAACCCTCAGAATGATCTGCAAGCACAGGCTAGAGCTCATAGGATTGGACAAAAGAAACAGGTATATATGTCTTAACTTTGGCCTCTAATCTAGTAGTTGGATGTTTCACAGCAGGAGTAATTTGCTGCTTATGTTGTCCAGTTCTGATTGGAACAAGATTCTTTCTGTCTTTAGACTTGCTTATTTAACTCTTAATAATAACTATTTGTGTTCTGGATGTGCCCATTATAGCAATAAAATCTATAAACAAAACCTATGAAAAGATGTTTTAAGTGCTAAATTCTCAAAGTGATAGTCGGAGCATTGACAGTTTATATTTCAGTTCTGTAAAACATTTTAAATGAGTGATTTCCTGTTCCATTGATAGCTGAAATAACTGGGCAGGATTGTATAGCTATATTAACTTACCATATATCCAAGGTTTTGTTTGTTAAGCTATGTTTAATTGAAAGATTCAGCTTCTCAGTATGAAGAATTGGAAGTTCCCCTACATCAGTGATACTCACATAGTGGCTTGGGAGCCACATGTGGCTCTTTGACAAACCAATCTTTGGCTCTTCTGAGCATTGTTCCCTAGTATGGCACCTGCGCCACATTTCAGGGGGCAAGGCTCTTGCCTGGTGGGGCTTGTGGTTGGTTGGTCATTTCCACTTTGAAACAGTGGCTGCCAGAGGAATGGGTAAACTACAAGCTTCCCTGAAGTGCAGGCCTTACCCAGGCATGGAATTAAATGTGGCTCTTTTGGTTAATGGTAAATATAAATGTGGCTGTCCGCAAGATGCAGAGTGCCTCTGCTCTACATCTAAAAGCCAGCAGTATGATCCAGATAAAGGTGGAATGTAACTGCAAGTATGTCAACGTATTTTTACATACTGTTCTTGCAGTGTAGCAACAGGAACATACACGTATTACACACATCCCTGCCTCTGCCGAAAAACAGAGAGCAGCTGCAGATAAAACACACAGCAGCAATCCTGAGAAGAATGGCAGGTACTTACCTAGCCACTGAATCATGGAGTTCCCCCTTCAGTGTATTCAATCTCCCTTCTCCTAGTAATTACATAGGCAGGGGCTTGAATCCGGCACAGCATTTCTGTGGCCAGAAGGGTTTCCATCTGTGGAGCATGGCTTTCTTACCTCCTCCTGAAACGCTGTTCCTGAGGAGCATTTTGAGTACCTGAAGTGGGAAGGGAGAAGTGAAAAAGTCATGCTCCTCAGGCAGATGTCTCATCTCACATATATGTCCCTGCAGCTGCTCTGGGTTGCAAAATGCAGTTAGTGAAGGGGGTTCTCCAAGATTCAACAGATAAGCATTACTTCCTGCTTTCCTTGGGTTCTTTGGTCTGTGATTAACCTGGCTATCATGGCTACTCTGATTCTATGTAATCACACACACCTGTGGTTCCTTCTTGGAGGCTGCAGCTCCTGACACTATGCCAGCACTGAAAGCAAAGATCTTTCAGTTGTTGGATCAAAATGCCCATTTGAATATTGAAAAGCTTCTGAGGATTGTAACATACTTGATTCAGTTACAGATGGACAAACTCATTCCCAGTCTTAATAAAACAGCATACTTACTTACGTTACTTAAAATGTTTTGTTTGCTTCTTTGCTTATATATAGGTTAACATTTATCGGCTAGTCGCTAAGGGATCAGTTGAGGAAGACATCCTGGAAAGAGCCAAGAAGAAGATGGTTTTAGATCACCTAGTGATACAGAGAATGGACACTACAGGGAAGACTGTGCTGCACACAGGTTCTGCTCCTTCTAGGTACATTATTTGGGATGCTCTGTCTGTGCATCTGTATATCTTTATACAATGTGGCAAATGAAGTTCAGTGTTGGCAAGTGTAAGATGAACATTGGGACAAAAAATCCTAGCTTCAAGTATAGGCTAATGGGGTCTGAATTTTCTGAGATTGAGAAGGAAAAAGACCTTGGGGTCATAGTGAAAGTATCAACCCAGTGTGCTTCAGTGGTGAAAAAGGCAAACTTTATGTTAGGGATTATTAGGAAAGGGATTGAGAATAAAACATCTGATATTGTAGTGCCGCTGTATAGATCTGTTGTATGGCCTCATTTGGTCTGGTCACCATATCGGAAAAAGAACATTGCAGAGCTGGGAAAAGGAGGGCAACCAAGATGATGAGGGCCTTGGAGCAACTTTCTTATGAGGAAAGGCTGAAGAGTCTGGGACTTTTCCATTTAGAAAAGAGACGACTAAGGAGGAGACATGATAGATGTTTATAAAATTATGCATGGGGTGTGAAAAGTTGACAAAGGGAAATTTTTCTCCCTCCTCCAAAATACTAGAACTCGGGGGCATCCAATGAAGTTGATGGGCAATAGATTCAGGACAGACAAGGAGACATACTACTTTACACAGAGCGTTATTCAAATGTGGAATTTGCTCCCTGAGGATGTAGCTATGGCCACAGGAGTAAATTGCTTGAAAATGGGATTAACTAGATTCATGGAGGATATGTCTGTCAATGGCCACTAGCCATGGTGGCTGAGGGAACTTCCACATTCAAAGGCACTAAACCTCTGAATCCCAGAGCTAGGAGGCAACATCAGGGGAAGGCCTCAGCCGGTGTGCCCTGTTGTAAATCCTCCAGAGGAACTGGTTGGCCACTATGTGAGACAGGATGCTGGACAAGATGGTTCATTGGTCTGATCCAGCAGGGCTCTTCTTATGTTCTTATGTACATACCAGTTATCTTTAGCACTTTGGATGGGTTCCATATGCAAGCCGAGGGCCTTTACTAGGCAGAGTTTTTCAAAGTCTGAGAAGAACAGGTAAACTAAATAACCACACACGCCAAGTGTGAAATTATTGCCTGGATCATAGTAGCTTCAGGTTGGTTAGACTAAATCTAGCTTCTGAAGTTAGTGCACATATATTCCTGGCGGGTTTTGATGGTTACTGGTTGGCTTGCCAGCAGCTTTCCTGTGCTATTCTCTGCCTACTGGCAGATTCTACCCACATTCTGCAATACATGCTTCACTTTTTGCTGGAGTAATGGGTCTTTGCTTGTCACATGTATGCTAAAACTTCTTGCTGTCTGCAAACCCCACTCATCCAAGCAGCTATTTGATGTTTGATATCAGACAAACAGCTTTGATATGAGACAGATGAAAATACTAGGCAGCAAGAGTCAGAGTGCTTGTGGAACAGAGGTACTGGGCTGACAAGCAAAAGATGTGAGAGAAGGGTGCAATTAAATAAAGAAGGAACCAAGGAAAGGAAAACATGTAGAGGTGCTGTGTGCTATTGATAGGAAGAGAGTGAACAGGCAAGGGTATCCTTTAGGGTCAGGAGGGGTGGGCCAAGGGATAGAGTACTGTTGCCAGATCCAAAACCAGAAAAGGCTTCTACAACTTTTAAAAATTGTATAGGAGGAAGTATTCTGCCAGGGAGAACTTCTTTGGTTACTGCCGTTGTTACCCAAAGTGGTTGTGAAGGTTTCCTGAGTTTGTTGGGGAATTAGCTAGGGGGTAATGAAGCAGGATCTCCACCTATGTTTACGGGGATTTTTCCCTCAGTTGAACTCTCAAAATGAACCAAGCCATGATTAATGAAATGGTTTTTATTAAAGAGAATTAAAGATTAAAATCAAAACTTGTTAATTAAAAAACATTATATGAACACACATAAATTCAGAAAATAAAGGTGGTAGCTTACAGAGACAATGAAGGGAACTTATTCTATGGGACTATATATACCTTTCCAAGGAGCAAAGATCTGAGAAGGAAGACGAGCAAAATGAACCAGCGTCTCACTAAGCAGGGAGCCCAACCTTTTCGGTGGGGGTGTAGGTTAGTGGACGTACAGATACACACACACACAAATTACTGAACGCGTGTCTGGTTATACCCCTTGGAGCATGATGTGATTGCTCCTAGAACAATGCTGTGATGGTGTGAATGAAACAATGTTGTTTGAGCCAGGAAGTATCATAATGTTCCCAGGAGCTGCAAGTGCAATGTAACATTTATGTGAAATGTCTGTTGTGTTTGGTGACCTCTAATTTACCAGGACAAGACAACTATGACACAAAGGATTATGGGATTAAAATGGCTTTTACTAGGTTTTTCCTTAGGATGCTCAGGTAGGGAAAGGTCAGGCAGGGTAGGGAAATTGCCAAAAACCAGACCTTTGCACCTTTAGGATCAGTTTTCAGACATAGTCAATATTCGATGGCACACATTCCATGTGACTGTAGGATCTATTTTGATCTCTTATTTGCAGACCAGGGGTGAGTCTTGAATAATTTGCAGACCAGGGATGAGTCCGTGAGATGCTAAGAGAGGGAAGGTTGCTTGCATCACCTCTTTATAGGTACTAAGCTCATCCTTCCAAGTGAGGAGGGGGTCGAGACCTAGCACAGTATTTGCTTTGGTGACTTGAAGGATGTAGGACACATTTGGGGGCAAAGCAGTTAATTTCCAGCTACCCAGCCCTTTGTCCTTTTTGTCTGACAAAGAAAATGAATTGTTACAGTGAATTGGATATGCACTACAAAGCCCTTTAGGTTGGATAGGATTATTATTGGATTAAAGGAATCCCATTAAGAGTGGGGGGGAAAGAGTGAAAATGAAAACTTTTCCCTTCCATTTCAGTTCTGCTCCTTTTAACAAAGAGGAACTATCAGCTATCTTAAAGTTTGGTGCTGAGGAACTTTTTAAGGAACCTGAAGGTGAAGAACAGGAGCCACAGGTACAGAGTTTATCATTTATACATTTGGTTTACTTGTCTTTTCCCATTAACATTTCAGTTTATACATTTGGTTTACTTGTCTTTTCACATTAACATTTCAGTGGTAACAATGTTTGTTACTTTTTATTTCTTTACAGGAAATGGACATAGATGAAATTTTGAAGAGGGCTGAAACCCGAGAAAATGAATCTGGCCCATTAAGTGTGGGAGATGAGTTGCTTTCCCAGTTTAAGGTACTACTTTTTTAATTTTGCAAAGCATATCAAGCATATGAATAAACACACCTCAATTTTATAAATTCCCTCCCTTGCTTACCCTAAGTATTCTTCTGCTTATTTGTTCGTGTAAGCTGATGATAGCACATACTTTGGGTTTTTTTTCCTTGATATGTTTAAAAATTGCAAACAGATGTCAAAATTATTTTAGAAAGACTATGCCTAGTCTTCCATCCTATTTCAGAATTAAAATTTGAGGATGTTTGCCTCCTCAGGAAGCAAATACTCCAGGAACTCATTATTCCAGTAGTTAGGTGAATATGACTGTAGGAAAATCTTTATCTACAAAGCTTTAGGCCATGGTTTCTTAACACAGACAAGAAGAATGTAGTGTGTTTTGTTAGAAGTGCACAATTACACAGATTATATAATGGATTATCGGATTTCTTGATGGCATCACTATGTTAGCTGTGTTCTTTTCAGAAGGAAGCATTTTGTTTCTTTTCACAATGATATATCTCAGTTGCATCACTGTAAGTACAGTGTAGAGTAGAAATTGATTGTGTTATATTAGTAGAATATTCTGGGCCTTTACCAGTTATGCATTGTGACAATTTCATGGGGGTTGCTGTTTCCCCCCATATTTTTCTATTTTGCCATCTTGCTGCCAGTTTCACCACCTCTGATTGAAAGCTTCAGAATATCTAAGGTACACAAGATTTTGTTTTCGCTTTCATTCTCACATCTGCAACTGCTGTTTTCTAGAAGAATGCTGCTGACACTCTTATTTGGTCAAGGGCTATAGAATTATTCCCTTACTAAGAACAGAACAAGTTCCAGAGTTAAGTGGTCAGTGGTTTAATTGATTCTGGCAACCATGGAGCAAACCATGTTTACAGCCCTTTAAGTACATCCTAAAAGTTAGATTAGAACAGTTAGAAAATAAGAAATAATGTTTTCCCCTTTTAAAAAAAAGTTTAGCAAAAACTGTTCTGAAAGATTTTTTTTTTTCTGTTACTGTTCATTCGACCCAGTGGTCCTCATCAGCCACAAGATACTTTATTTGGGGGGGGGGGGGAATCAACTGCAGATGTTCTGTCCATAGGGTGGAAATTGTACTTTCTGTTTGGTTATATACTGGATTACTATTTCCACAGATGTGTATCATATATTAAACAGGAAATTTATTTGATTTTGATTACACATCACTCTTTCTGTCATGAACATTGTTGCACTTGTAACTATTTCTGACAAAACCAAATGTTTTGATAGGTGGCTAATTTCTCCAATATGGATGAAGATGACATTGAACTGGATCCTGAACAAAACTCAAGGAACTGGGAAGAAATAATTCCAGAGGTCCACCGACGAAGATTAGAAGAAGAAGAAAGACAAAAGGAACTGGAAGAAATTTATATGCTTCCAAGAATGAGAAACTGTGCAAAACAAGTGAGCTTTACCTTTAAGAGGTCTTCTCCCACATCCTATTGGTGCTGGATCAAATTGCACTTGAAAACTAAAAAACTTTTAACATCAAATTTGAGCACTTAATTTTTGTATTCTTGCTTTTTTAAAAAAACGTATAGATCAGCTTTAATGGAAGTGAAGGGAGGCGTAGGAGCAGAAGATATTCGGGATCAGATAGTGATTCTATCTCAGAAAGAAAACATCCCAAAAAACGTGGAAGACCACGAACTATTCCACGGGAAAATATCAAGGGATTTAGTGATGCTGAAATTAGGAGGTAAGAGGCAAAGAAAAAAATCTACATGTGGAAAGTAGCAAACGACATTTCATTGGACTGTTCTGAAAAAAGTATTAAAACAAAACAGTCCTAAATTATCCAAACATTGTTTCAAAATTATTTCTTATCAGTATATATTTTAGTTTATTTTATGTTTTAGTTAAGTCTTTATACTTTCTTTTGACAAAGGAAGATCTCTTGATAAAGTTAGTGTATTGAACATTAATTTGTATAGGTTTATGTTACACTGCTGAAATAAGTTGGTTCCATGCTTGTTTAAATACAGGTACAGTGGTGAAAACTGATTTGGGTATGTTTGTTGTTCTCTGCAATTCCTATATATATATATTTTTGTGCTAAAACAGGTGTTTCTAGAGGCAGATTTTTGGGGAGGGAGAGTAATTGTTGGGGTGGATTTGGGCATTGGCAGAGTAATACTGTGTAAACATTACTAAACACAGATCCAGGTTGATTGTCTTTTTCACAATATGAAATATCAGTTTGTGAAATTACTATGTAAATCTGTATAAATCTGTGACAGATCATATGTGCAAGTGTATGTGGTTCATTAACTTTTGATATTTTTTCAAAAGAAAAAAATCTGCAACAGTTTTAATTTTAACTGTATGCTGTTTATTTGTGTACTATGCATATTTTATAGATATAGCTTAAGTGAGATTTGATAGTTTAAACAACTTGCAATTAACATATCCAGTTCTTTTCTGTTAGGTTTATCAAGAGTTACAAGAAATTTGGGGGACCTCTTGAAAGGTAAGTGTACCATATAGCCAGGACTTTTTCACTATATTGAAACATTAAACTGAAACTCAGTATAATTAAAACAGAAGTAATGCTGGTTTAGCCAGCCAGGGTCTGAGGTGTCAGGCTGTTCCAGATAGGGTTGTGCTCCTCTTGAAAGAGCATGATCACAGCTTGGGGAAGTTAGATCCATGCCTGTGGCTGGACACTTGGGTGCCATCTGTAGTATACAGCACCTTAACCAACTTGGCTGTGACTCTTCCTGTAAAAACAAGACCTGGTTACCACCATGCTGTGAATTCTAGTGATGTGTAATTCAAAAATTGTTATTTTAATTACAGATCAGAAAGTTGGAAAGGCATGAATTTTATTTCCTTAAATATCAGCAGTATTGTTACCATTCTGAAAAGTCATATTGGGAAAAATTTTCTGGTTTAATAAATATCAGAATACCACCCCCAATTTAGTGAAAACAGTAATCATGTCCTTTTTGAAGGAAAGTAAAACAATAAATTTGAAGTATTTTCCCTCCCCTGGGGGAACACGGAGGGAGTTTTAAAGTTTAAAGAGCTGAAGTGCTCGGACTGGCTGGAGGCCAGGGCAAGCTTCTTCATCCTCCTTCTCTCTCTGCTCTTGCTGCTTACCTATGATTCCCAGTTCCCATATTATCAGGAGTGGAAATATCAGAATCAGGGAGGACCTTTTGCAAAATCAGATATTGTTAATCAGGCATTTTATCATGTCAGTAATATCCAGTTACACAACCCTAGTGTTCACATCCAGATTAGACTAGAGCAGTGAGCTTTAGGCTGTATCTTAAGGCTATCTAGGAACAGGTGCTGGACAGAATGCAACACGTTTTCTGATGAGAACAGGGTACCAGGGACATCTCTCTCATTCGTTTTGAAAGAACTTTACTGGTTTTCAAGTGCTTGTTAGTCCTTTCTTTTTATAAAGCCCTATGCTGTTTGAGAACAAGGCCCATCTACTGCCATATGAACATGCTTGATTTTACCTTCTCGGGTAGGGTGGATGGCTACTGGAGCAAGGCTGTGGTGGTTCTGTTGGCTCCATTCTCTGTTGGCTCATACTAATTTTTATATGGTTGTTTGTAGATATTATTTTAATTGTAATTTATTTGTGTTTGCTGAGAATCAGCACAGCACAGTGCTACAGTGCTAAATTTGAAATTATTTTAGTGAATAATCACTGAAACTATATCTAGTTTTTTTTCCTACCAATGTATATGCTTCTCAACATGGCCAGATGTAGAGGCCTAAATCTGCAGATTAGGACCATGTACAGACTAGAGATATTTTTCTGCAAACTTTGTATGGGGGGGGGGGGAGAACCTAGGTCAGAAACCTGGGGAAAAATCAAAGAGGGTGAAATCAATCCAGGAGCATTTGCACATAAAACACAGCTCTGTTGGAGCCATAGCTGCTGCCTCCCTCTTTCCCCCTTTCTTTGGGGGGAGGGAGGTGCTCACCACGAGGCTGAGAGCCAACTGTCAGCTGGGTCAGGTGCAGAAGAGGCAGTGTTGTCACTTCTCCCTCATTCCCTGGCAGGCCTGCATCTGAGCGACCTGTGGGTCAAGCTGAAATGTTCAGCAACTCTGCAGAATCTGAGAAGGCTGTGCTGCCATGATGGGCATGGGACAAAGGAGGGAGTAATGTGAAGCAGTGAGGAGAGTTGCCTGTCAGTATAGGACTTGTGGATGGGCAGGGCAGTGAGGAGAGGAGTAGGTGGCAGTGAGGTCAGACTGAGGAAAGGGGGGAGCAGGAAGGTAAGGGGACATGGGGAACAGTATTGAGGTAAGGGTGGAGGAGTATAGTGTGGGAAGAAAAAGATAGGAGGCGGCAGCAGTGGGAGGAAAAGGGTGCAGAAAGGTGATGGAGCAGTGTCAGAAGCAAGAGGAGAAAGCAAGGACCAGTGAGGGGATTTTCCTGAGTTTCTCACGGATCTCCAAATGTATAATTATTTTCTTCGAATACGTGACCTTTTAATGCTTCTCATTTTATATTGATTCTGCTTCCTATATCTACCTAGAACCTAATAGAGATTATTACTTAGTCCCTTAGTTTGGTTTTACTGATCTGTTGGAAGTCAGTAAACAAATGTATAGTCTCTTGGCATAGCAAATGACTATGAATTAGCTCAGGCACAGAAGGTGATTGCCGGTTTTATTTGGGGTGGGGGGCTTCTGCCAGAACAAACAAGCAGGAAGCAGAAAACCAGTAGCCAAGTGCTCCTGGCCAGAACACTAAGAGAGGCAAATGGCAGCAAGTCCTCTTGGAAGCCCTCTGTGTCCACTGCCGCCTGTATTGGCTACCAGTGAAGGGCCACTGTTAAATTCTGTAGGAAGCTAATACAGATGTGCCTTGACTGCACATTTCCTCATTAAGAGAGTTATACAAATACCTAGCATTTATGTCTTTTCTGTTCTCGATTTTGAAGGCATCTGTCATGTATGGAGACTAGAGCTGTAATACTTGTGTTTTGTTATAGATTGGATGCAATAGCTAGAGATGCTGAACTAGTGGATAAATCTGAAACAGACCTCAGACGGCTTGGAGAGCTAGTACATAATGGATGCATCAAGGCTTTAAAGGATAGCTCATCTGGACAAGAAAGAGCAGGTATAGGTTGCATGAAAAAATTAGAAGAACTACAACAGATATTGAAAGCTACAAGAAAGAGCTTGCACAACATTTTTTCTATCCATGCATGTAGTTGCTATCTTTGACATGCTTCTGAGTAAACACACATGGCATCTTAGATATAGCTGGTACCAATTGCACTTTGCCAGCCATTTCTGTGAGCCATACCCATGTGTAATGGTTATCCATTCCAGTGTTTAATTAGGGACTGTTTGGATTACTCGTGCAGATAAAAATGTATTGTGAATTAGCCATAAAAGGCTAAAAGGATTAGGCAGCTTCCTCAGCAGTTCCCATTCCACTGCACTAGTTGGCGTAGGGTAGAGAAGCTTGTTTAGTATTCTGGAATTCTGTATAAAGCATACTGTCGTGCTGCTTACAATATCATGCAAAATAAAACTTTTTATTTTAGGATGTCAGTAAAGGCAAACATAGACCAAAGAGGAGATGGACCAGCATACATTTTGTGTCACAGATCACAAAGTACATTTTCTTAGTTTGGTGGTAACTTTTATTGGGTTAGGTATTGTTTTAATATTGCTTCCAATATATCAGAGAAGTACAGATTACATTTTCTCAAACTGTTTAGACAAATGCCTAGGGGTGTGCAAGCCCCCCCCCCCCATTGGTATTTCCCAATCTTCCCATATCCCAATACCGGTATGGTATTCGGATTCGGTAAATATTCGGGAAAGCCAAATTTTTTCAGCTCCATTATACCTTATGGGGACCATTATATACCTTATGGGGATCATTATAGTAAATAATCTTTTATAGTAAAAAGGTTATAATGGAGAATAGGTGCAGGGGTCTCTCGGTCTCTGTGGGGGTTGTTTTTTGAGGTAGAGGCACCAAATTTGCATCATAGTTACTGGTGCCTCTCCTCAGAAAACCCCCCAAAGAAGGTTCCCCCCCCATTCATTTCTTTCAGTGGAGGAGTGAAAGGCATTTAAAGGGATCACAGTCCCTTTAAATGCCTTCTCCAAGCCACGTGACTGTGGCGAGAGTCCAAAGGCATTTAAAGGGACTGTAAGCCCTTTAAACTTCTGGGTGAACTTGCCGCGGATTCGTGTGGCTTGGAGAAGGCATTTAAAAGGACCATAATCCCTTCAAATGCTCTTTAAATTTAGCTGGTGGCCTAAAAATCCCAAATAGTTTCAGGATTTGGGGGGCTTGGCCGTTTGGGATAGCCGAAATGCAGCCCCATTCGGTAACCAGCTTAAAAAATAACGGTAAGGTATTTTTCGGGCATTTTTTCTGGTTTGGTTTATGCCAAATGCACACCCCAAATGAGGCCATGTTGGCAGTGCAGTTTACCTTGTTAGTATCTGGGGAAAAATTGGTACACATTCTTATGGTACACTTATATGATTGCCACTTCCTTATTGTGATCACATATTTAAAATATATCATGTTCCTTGATATTTTGGGTTGCTTTGGAGCAGCTGCATATAAAACTAATGTAATGTTTATCTGCACTGTATTCCTGTTTTAAGGGGGCAGACTTGGCAAAGTTAAAGGCCCAACTTTCCGAATATCAGGAGTTCAGGTAAATGCAAAACTAGTCATCTCACATGAAGAAGAACTAGCACCATTGCATAAATCCATTCCTTCAGATCCAGAGGAAAGGAAGAGGTTAGTTGATGACTTTTTTGGTTTATGATATATGATAGAGCACTGTTAAGACTGTGTATAATAAATTAAAATGTTTCGCCCACATATTGCCAGAGTGAAGTAGTAGAGAGTGAAGTAGTAGTTTGGAGTATTTGTCTAGGCCTGAGGGGAGCCAGGTTCAAATCTTTGTTTGTCAGGAAACCAGTTGGGTGGCTTTGGGCCTGTAAGTCTTTCTTAGCTAAACTTAACTTACAGGATTGGTAGCATAAAATGGAGGAAGAGAGAATCATCTGTGCTACCTTGAGCTCTTTGGAGGAAGGATGGAATAACAATGAACTAATAACTCCACCACCCTTCAGTTCTGCCACAGCACATTCCTGAACAAGCCCCTGGTTCTTGCCACTGCCACCCAGACTTGTAGAGAGATCGTTCAATATTTTTAATTCTGTCCAACGCTTTTCTGTAGCATCTTAATAAATAATGGTATTATATAAAAGCTAATGAGCTTGCGCTCTACTTTTCATTTAGATACGCCATACCTTGTCATACTAAGGCAGCTCATTTTGATATAGACTGGGGTAAAGAAGATGACTCTAATCTTCTAATAGGCATCTATGAATATGGATATGGTAGCTGGGAAATGATAAAAATGGATCCAGATCTCAACTTAACACACAAGGTAAGTCCTATTTTCCATCTCTCCACCATATTGTTACTCGGGCAGATGCTTGCAGAAAGATTACTGGTGTAGCAAACAGGCTGTACTTTGGATGGTAGACATAAATGGCTGTGTTCCCTTAAGGCCTCTTTTCCTCACTCTTCCTCCTCCTTTTATTAGTATTTCTGTTGTATCTTCTGAAAACACAGTCTTTTCTTTCTATAGAAGTTCTTTGTTCCTTTACACATGTTACACACAGAAAAGGAGCTTTGTGTTTGAGACAAAAGTGAGTCACGTAGTAGAGACCAGGCCAGCCAGTGATCTGATAAGAACTACAGTACATAGATAAAACACAGTAAAAACGAACACATGGTTTGTTTTGTTTGTTTTTAATCCCCTGAAACAGGGTAGCTTTATTACTTTTTTGTTACACCTATACACTACAGAAAAGAAAAAAGGGAGGGAAAGTTACCCCAGGAAAAAAAGGACAGTAAATAAAAACCCACACTATAACTAAAACCCCAAGAGAGAGGGTTCTAATCAGTTAGTATTCTGTTAGTATTTAAAACAAAAAACTTTTCGTTTGAGTCAATGTAATCGGAAATTAGTGAGTTCATATTAGTAATAATAGTCTCTTCTTCTTCTATGTGCGTTCAGAGTTCTTTCATCATCATCACTGTTTGCAGGACTTCTAATATTTTAAAGAGTTACTTTGGTTTTCTCAGTCGTAAGTAATATGCTTCCTTGGCCTCAGCACTCGTTGCACCTGGGTCTCCGTCTCCGTCTTCTATGGTTTCTGCGCCTCCCCCTTCTTCTTGCTGTTCTTCTTCCTTCGATCCGAAAAACCGCTTCAACCATTCTTCTGAAAAACGAACACATGTTAAAGCCAGCAAGTCTAATAGTATCAATGCCCAAAAAAGCAGAGAGCAAGAAATCTTAAAACAGATCAACCACCCCATGCATAATAAATCAGGTAGTATAAAATACTGGGACACAGAGGGAGAACAAGAAATAAGAATTTAAAAATCCGTCAACAGGAATATTTGAAGTGTCAAAAATGGGTGTAGCTGGGTACCACAACTGAAAAGGCTCTGTCCCTTGAGACGGCCAAAGCAGAGCATCCAAAAAAGACTTCAACAAACATCAGATTCATAAGGGTCCTTTAGGTACCCTGGTCCCAAAAGTTGTAGGGCTTTAAAGGTCACAGTGAGCATTTCAACTTGGGTCTGAAAGCCAGTTCTTATAGAACTGTTTCCTAATAACATTTTGTATCCATTGAATCTTCCTATGCATTGTTACCCAAAACAGTCCCTGTGTAAGGCATGTCATGTGAAAAACCTCCCCTATGTGAAACTTAGAAAACGAGTTCTGGGGCCAAGTCTGTAAGATGCCCTCCAAAGTAGAATATAAGTGGGTTTCAAGCACAGACTTGTAAAATTACATTGGACTTAAATTCAGCAACCTTTCCCAGTCTGTTCCTATTTATAAAGGTGATGAAATTCTGCATATACTTCAAAGAAAGCATTTGAAACTGCATTCTCAGAGGGGGAGGGGCTTTGGCGCATTGACACGGTTGGCACCGGGAATCGCTCCCGGGCACCGCTGGCTCTTTGTTCTTTTTAGGGGAGTTTTCAAAGGATCCCGAACTCCACTAGACCTCCTGGACGGAGGTCTGGTGCAAGGGACTTCATTCGCACGCACAAACACACCCCATGAGTGGCAGCGAGCGGGTGAAAGCCCTGGATCATCCGAGAAGCAAGGAACAAAGCGGCGTAGTTATGGCAGCCATAACTGCACCAGATGTGAGCGCCCCATAAGAAGAGAGGTATTTGAGTCTCATCCATAACACCGATGAAGATATACATTGTAAGTACCTGTAAAAGCAACATCGAAGAAACCGACAGTCTTTTGGTTAAGCCCCTTTAAAGTTTTAAAAGGAAAGGAAGAGTGGAATTGCCCTTCCTCCGCGGAGTGGCTGGGACAATTACGAAAAGAAAGCTGAGCTAAACACTTCTTGGGGCAAGGAGGGACTGTTGTTTGAGCCTCTACAAAAGGATTACAAAAAAAGAAAGATATTTAGAGTGGAATTCGTTACTTTGTGGCAACTTTTTATGACATCATGCTTCATTGCTGAGTGGAGGAGTTTATTATGTCTAGAGTCTCTTGTAGAGCTGCAAAGCACTTCACTTGTGTTGAAGGATTCTCGGTTGCTAATATCTCTATGAAAGCTACTATCTGGTAAATGCGGTCAACTCTGAAGAGAATATTGACAAATAATTTGCAGAGACTTTGGGTTTTGCTGGGTTGAACTGGGACTTTTGCTATCACAGTAAAATGGGTGATCAGGACACACAGAAAAAAATGCCAGATGATGGATGCTTAGACAGCTCTGCAGAAACCAACCTGCTGCAGTTGTCCTGGGAGGAGCTTCAGCTTATAATTGTTGATGCAGTCAATCTGGCAGTTAAAAAGGCTTTTGAATCAATACTAGACAAAAAAGATACTACACTAAGCCAAAATACAAGCAAGACAAAGGAACCCCAGCACCAAACTGTGCAAAATGCAGAACAACACTACACTACAATCATGCTGACCCAATCTACAGAGAAAAGGAACCTCAGCACCACACTGTGCAAGATACAGAACAACACTACAATCAGGTGGATTTAACCTATAGAGAAAAGGAGCCTCAGCACCAAACTGCGCAAGACATAGAACAACACTACAATCAAACTGATTTAACCTACAGAGAAAAGGAACCTCAGCACCAAATTGTGCAAGATGCAGAACAACACCACAAATAAGTTGGCCCAATCTACAGTGAGAATAACAGATCTACTAAAAGACTGTTAAAACTCTAGAATCCTCAAAGTTATAAAGGGAGAAATATTCCAGAGAGAAGATAAAACAGAATTTATGGAATCCTTTAGTACCTTAAAAATTGAATACAGATGGCAAGTTTTAAAGCAAATCTTCTCTCCCTACAAGGGGAAAAGACATAGAAACAAGACTTTATTGAAAAGAAGAAATCACAAAAAGAAGAAAAGAATTAGGCCCTATAAATAAAACTGGTTTAGGGAACCCTAGTTTATGTGCAACAAACTCAGATGGGCTGGGGAATATCTAACCCCTTCATGTAACTGTAAATTATAAAATTGGTCCAGGGAATCTTTATACATGTGTAACTGATTAACATTGATTATAATTCAGTTTGCTTTTCTATACGTGTACAAAACTATAGCCCATATTAAAAATATTCAAGGGAAGATTAAATGTTTGAGAAAGTCTTGTAATAGATGATATAAATTATAAGAGAATAAATTGTATAAAACATTTGGACTAGAGAACCCTTATGAATGTTTATTTGAATAAGATTGGTTAGAGAAGTATGTTTAAAAACTTTAATTCATATTTAGGTAAGGCTTACAATATAGAATTGCATAGATTGTAAACTTATAAAGGTATCAAAGTTTTAATCTGATATAAAAGGTGTTATATAAACAAGATTGGTTTAAGGAACCCATGAGCTTGTGTAACTTGATTGATTAGAAAATATAGGTATGCTTAAAAAACTTTATTAAACAGAAGATTATTTTAAAATATGTAAGCAAGGCTGATATTAAGAATTCAGTTTGATGTAAAAGGTAGGCTAGAGAATTAGAACAAATAGAATGAGAAAAGAATATGACTATGGATTTGGGGAATTGTATAAATTTAGTTAATATCTAAATGTATCATAGAAGATTATTGTAGATAGACAGTGTTCAAATAGAAGGAACATGTTTTGTTAATCTATAGAGTTGCAAAAAATATAGTCTTATGTGATTATGAAATTTTAAGTTATACTTAAATCTGGATTTATAGAAAATGGTAATAAAATGTTTTTGACAGTGCTTAAATATTAAAAAACTAGCAGTAAAGCCCGTTGTGAAAGCAATACAACGGGATCTAGAAAGAGGCTCTGGGGCAGTGCTCTGGCTTTGGGCAAACAGTGTCAATTTGCTGTGGTGACCTCAGCAGGGTATAATGACAGAGTCCACTGTTTTCTCCAGAGGAACTGATCTCTGCTACCTGAAGAGCAGTTGTAATTGTGAGTGATCTGTAGCCCTCACCTGGAGATTGGCAGCAATTGTTACCCAGGACAAAATGGCTGGTTTGGAGGGTGGAGTCTATGGCATTCTACCTGTCTGAGGTCCCACCCCTCTGCAAACCCCACCCTCTCCAGGCTCCACCCCTCAAATCCCCAGGAATTTGTCAGCATGTAGTTGGCAACCCCATCTCCTTCCCAGCTAGCCATCAACCTACCATTATCTGCCCCTTTGACTTCAGCTGACTTCTGCCCTCCCTTCTGCAGAGCAGTTGTAATACTGAGTGCTCTCCAGCCCTCACCTGGAGATTGGCAACAATGGTTCCCTATGTGGGACTGACTGGTTTGGAGGGTGGAGTCTATGGCAGTGTACCTGTCTGAGGTCCCACCCCTCCTCAAACCTCACCCTCTTCAGGCTCCATCCCTCAAATCTCCAGGAATTTCCCATCTGGAGTTGGCAACCCTATCAGGGTCATAGGGTCTACCCTCCTAAAGCAGTCATTTTCTCTAGGGGAACTGATCTCTGTCATCTGGAGATCAATTGTAACAGTGGGAGATCTCCAGGTCCCACCTGGAGATTGGCAACCCTAGGGGAAAGTCAGCTGCACAGCAGGGGGTTGAAGAGAATGGTTTGATGGCTGCTGGGCCAAGATTGGCAACAATAGTTCCCCAGGAGCCCCATCGTAAATATCGTAAACAATTCCTAAAGATTTTCCAAAACACTACTCTGTTGATAAATTGCAACACTTTAAAGTAGCACCAAAGTTTTAAGATCTCTCCAGCTGTCACCTGGAGACTGGCAACAGCTTGTCTGGAGTGTGGGCAGTATGGCATTGTATCTGTCTTGAGGTCCCCCTCTTCCTCCTCCTCCTCAGATCCCACCCTCAGCAGGCTTCATCCCTAAAATATCCTGGAAGTTTCCAACCTGGGGTTGGCAACCCTATGTCCTGGAGTTCCAACCTGGAGTTGGCAACCATCAGCCAACCTTTATCTGCCTGTCTGTCTTAAGTTTTACAACCCCCCCTCCCCACAGCCTCTGCCTAGGGAGCAGCTGACATCGTTCTCCTCTCCCAACTGAAAATTCCAACTGCCTTGCGGGGGGGGTGAGTTTGAGGTGTGGAATGGAGTGTGGTCCAATCAGCTTCCATATGCAAATGACCTTGGAATGCTGGGCGGGACTGCACAAAGCAGCCAGTCAACTCAGCCAGTGTCTTCTGAGTGGCAGTTTTTCCGGCCTAACACTAAAGGCGGGCATTTTAGAACTTTGGCACCCACTATTCAATTATATATAAGGAGACATAGTGTAGTGTTTAACATAGGCCTGCAATTAGACATATATGTATGAGGTAGTTTAAGAGATATAATAATGCTATTATTACTCTCATGTTTGTTTGTTTGTCTATTTATTTTGTTTAAAATAATAAAAACTATTATGAGGTGAAATTGCATTTTCAGATTCTACCAGATGATCCAGATAAAAAACCCCAGGCCAAGCAGTTGCAGACTCGTGCAGACTACCTCATAAAATTACTCAATAAGGATCTTGCAAGGAAGGAAGCACAAAGACTTTCTGGAACAGTAAGTAACTGTGTTGTCAGAAGAAAATAATGTGTTGTCAGAAGAAATAAATTGCAGTATTCCTTGAGACTGTATATCTGTACAGTATTTACTTCATGTTGCAATTAAATGCAAGGTTGTACTCACATAAATAAATCATAATTTTTATAAGTATGTTTTTTTATTCTTTCTATTTGTGTGTGTAACTTAGCTGGAAGAATAACCTGAGAAAAAAGCATTAGTAATAACACAAGTTTAAAATAATTTGACGTTGAATTTTTTTCATAATTAGGGAGGCTCAAAAAGGCGAAAAATGAGGATCAAGAAGAACAAATTGGCAAAAGCAAAAATTAAAGAGGAAATGAAAAGTGACTCTTCCCCACCTCCTTCAGATAAATCTGAAGAAGATGATGAGGACAGTAAGGTAAGTCCCTCATAGTTGTATTTGTAAAAATCAGAATTACAGTGTTGTTTTTGTCTGTGAACCATTTTGAAATTCTGTTACCCAGATAATACACTGCAAGCTGAGGACAAAGTTACAGAAAATGGTGGTTTACAAAGAGCCATTTAGTGACTTCTTAGCTGAGGTGTGATTTCAATTAGTGACTTCCTGATTTATAGCCCAGATGCTGAAGCTTGATTGATTATCAGCTCTCTGTTCTGAAACAGCCATGTAGAGAAAGAAGCCAAAATACCATTGCTTAGGCAAATTAAGTTTTCTCCTACCCATTTAATTGCATTATATAAGCTTCCTATTAGAAATACTTTTTAGGCAATAGTGGCTTTAGAGTTATTCATGTCAGAGATACTACTGATCTCCATTTCTGTTGAACTTTTCTCTATAAATTACCAAATTGGTATATGTGATAGCATTTGGAAATTTAGCAGTCTAAATGCTGCATCAATACCTTGACTGGAATTGGAAATGCACTGAAATATTAAATTGGAATGCCTTGTCTCCAGACAGTGGAGGAACATATTCTTATCCGCATTGTGCTTCGTCATTGCTCTGTAGGCACGCCATGCGCAATTTTTTTTGCAAAGGCTTCCATTTAACCCAAGAAGACGTTCCACCTCCCCGTCCATGCCCTACCCACTCCATGGGTGGTCAAGCTTTCAGCTCTTCCAGCTCTCTTGCCTCATTAAGGGATTAGTCTAATAGAGTGTACAGTACAGCACAACAGCCTCATCCTTTGCTCCTTCAGTTCAAACTACAACTTCAGCTGCCATTCTCCTCTCCCCTGCTGGGGCCCCAGCAGGGACAGAGTATGAGCAACAGGCCTTCTCCCACCCTGAAGCTTCACGGGTGGACAGGCCCACTGGCAGAAGCTCTCTAAACTCATCAGAGCCACTGGCACTTTCTTACTCTGTATCTCAAGGCCAGGAGGCCCCAGCAAAAATCACTTAAGAACATAAGAGATGCCAATGTTGGATCAGGCCAAAGGCCCATCTAGTCCAACACTCTGTGTCACACAGTGGCCAGAAACACCAGGTGCCATCAGGAGGCCCACCAGTGGGGCCAGAACATCAGAAGCCCTCCCACCGTTGACCTCCCCCCCAAGCACCAAGAAGACAGAGCATCACCAGAGCCCCTACCTATACCTTGTGGCTAATAGCCACTGATGGACCTCTGCTCCATATGCTTATCTAATTCCCTTTTGAAGCCGTCCATGCTTGTAGCTGCCACCACTTCCTGTGGCAGTGAATTCCAAGAGGAAATCCCCCCCCCCACACACACACACATTCACACAGCACTGGTCTCAATTGACAGGTTTCCCTCCACCAGATCTCTCTTCCTACATTACTAAAAGTGGTCAAAGATGTTAAGCATGACCTTAGAGCAAAAAATCAATGCTATAGAAGAAAGGAAGGTGTCTCTTGTTCTCCCTCCACCTTCTCTTCTTCCTCCGCCTCCCAGGAAAAAAACAACGGAAGGGATCCAGTAGGGACCAGTGTCATTCCTCTGAGAAGCCAGGCTCTTCCTCTCCAGACCCTAGAAACTCTGATAGAACCTGCCATTGCAGCTCATCTTCTCGGACCCACAGGCCACAAGGCCAGTGCCCTGCCATTGCTTCCCAGGCCAGCTCCCTCTGCCTTCTCTGGTCATTCAGGAGTCATTGCACTTTGATTCTGTGGCATCAGACAAGGAAGAAGAGGAGTGGCCTGGGAAAGACACAACCTCATTGGGCCCAGCCTCCACAAAACTGCTTCAACACAAGGACTTCCCACACCTCTTAGGGAAGGTTATCTCCAGTCTGACATCTGCAGGCCAATCTACCCCAGAGACCCTTCAAGACATGTCCAACAGCAGATTCTTTTGTGAGCCAGTTCCACTTCCTGTCCAGATTCCTTTGAGGATTCCCCTAGAACTGAATGGGCCTCCCTGCGTGAAGGCTTGCATTAAGTGGCAAAAAGAATATACACACTGTCCACCACCACTATGAAAGCCCTGAAGATTCCTCTAGTGGATACACCAGTATCTGGCCTGGTATCTAAGGCTATCCTTCCCAAAGATGGGGGATAGTACCCTCAGAGGTCAAAGCAGCATGGAAACTAGTTCTCCCTCAGGAAGGCACATGAAGCCTCAGCCCTCTCTGTCAAAGCAAGTGCAGCCTCATCAGTCTTTTATGGAGCATCCATTCTCTGGGCAGAGGAACTCAAAACTCCAGCAAAAAACCTCCTAAAATCAAGAGAGAAGATTGTTGCCTCAACCTCAGGGCAGCAATTGCTCCCCTCAGACAGGCAGCAATGATAAACCTGATAGCCCTGACAGGAAATTCTGGCTCTCATGATCTTCTGTCTCAAAACCATTCCTTGGGTCTAATTTCATCATGTCCCCTTCAGCGGCTCCTGCTGCCCCACCAAAGTGACATCATTCACCATCATCACAAAGACATCTCTGTTCTACCCAGTGTACGACACTGCTTCCAGTCATGGTTCCAAGACTCCCATCTGGCAGTGGGCATTCTCTTACCAGTGGAAAGTGACTTCCCAGAGTGAACGTCACCATGGATGCCGGTCTCCTCAGCTGGGGAGCACTTGGCTAACATCTAGTTGCCGAAGGACAGTGGAACAAATCAAAGTGCACAGCATCAGCTGGTTGGAACTAAGTGCAATTGGGCTCACACTTCTCTCCTACAACATGTGACAGAGCATTGTAATGTTCTAGTTCCCACTGACAACATGACAAAACAGCATGTCAACCATCAGGGAGGTACAAGGTCTTGATCCCTGCAGAAGAAAACAGCCTGTCTATTTCAGTGGGCAGAGGCCCTCAGAACCCAACACCATCAGGGTATTTACAATCTAAATGCAGGTGGGCTCAGTTGACAGGACCTGGATCCAAGGGAATGGACCCTCAATTCCATAGTCTTCCAAACAGTGACCAGGAGGATGGGCATCCCCTGCATGGACCTCTTTGTGGCTCCAGTCAACAAAGTACCAAAATTCCTGTTCAGATTTCCATCAAGGGGGACAAATGCACTCAGCCCCTTGGCCAAAGGGTCTCCTCTGTGCCTTTCCTCCAACATTGCTCATAGTGAGAACTGTCAGCAGCATATGAAGAGAAGCAACAGACATGATCTTCATCACACCCTACCGGCCAAGGAGACCCTGATTCTCCAACCGGGTAGCAATGGCACAACAACCATCCTGGGTCATTCCAGTGGCCCATGACATTCTTTTGCAGGGCCCCTGATCCATCCCAATCCACCTTGTCTCTGCCTTTCTATGTGGAAATTGAAAGAAGGATGTTAGAGCATCATGGCTACCCAGAAATGACAAAGTGATCCTGGCATCTAGGAGACCTTCATCTCAAAGAATATATGAGACCATTTGGAAAGCTTTTCACAGGTGGTGTCACATGAAGAAAACTAACGCTGTTGCTGCAAAGGCTCCAGAGGTTCTTCAGTTCCTCCAGGATGGACTAGAATAGGGCCTCAGACACACAATCTTCAGCACCAGCTGGCGGCCTGCTCATCAGTTCCCTGCCACATTGCTGGACAACCTCTCTTTAGACACAGCCACATAAAATGTTTCCTAAGAGAACAGCAATACCCAGTCCTCCCATCTATCATTTTCCTACGGGAACCTACACAAAGTGCTGAGAGTCCCACATAGACCTCCATTTGAACCTTTAAGGTTGGTTCTACTAAGAATACTATTCTTCAGTGTAGCCTTTTTCATAGCAATCACCTCAGCCAGGAGGAACTAAGAACTTGCTGTTCTTTCTATCAGAGAAATGCTGTGTTCCTTTCCAGAGGATTTGGTGACCCTGCACACCAACCCCCTCATTCATTCCAAAAGTAAACTCTTAACTTTCACAGGGATCAGGAGATCCATCTTTCCACACACATCTCCTTAGGTTAAGTGAAAGCCTTTGTAAAAAGAATTGCATATGCCCTGTCCACGGAGCAAGGAGGAGGCAAAATTCACACAAGGATACCTTCCCATTCACTGATGAAAAGAAACCTTCATGGTAAATCCAGTGTTTCATTCTCACCTTTCCCTCCATACGCAGCAGTGATGCATGGGAGAAGAATAAATAGGTGCTGGTGTGAAGTCTGCAAATGAATGGAAAGGTAGTTAAAAGTGACAAAGTAATGAGTCCGTAGTTTCTAACCTGAAATATGATTTGTTTCCCTCTGAACCATACGTTGTGCTTGTATATTCCAGGATGAAGTGGCTTCAGTAAAACATCCAAATAAAAAGATAAAAACAGAAAAAGAAAATGAAGAAAATCCTGATGCAGATCTTGGCATGAAAAGGGAGAATGATGAAAAAAGAGAGTCAAAGGAAAACAAGAGGGATGTTAAAAGGGAGAAAAAAGAAAAAGAGGACAAGAAAGAGTTAAGGGACAAAGACATAAAAGAAAAGAGGGAAAGCAAAGTAAAAGATCACAGTCAGAGAGAAAAAGAAGTAAAGGAAGAAAAGGTAACTGAGTTCTCCCACCCACCAGTGGGCACATGGTATTTTTAATACTTCTGTTGTATACCTCAGTTTGCATAAGAGGAAGAAAGTCTCTCCACAAATGTCTATGTTCCTGTTTTCTCGTTAAAATTACTCTGTAGACGTATGAAATACTAGGTGGCCTACCATATATCCTTGTTTATGGTGCAGTCTATTTAAGAATTTGTTTTATTTTGTTTTTAATTTATAGACAAATGAATCCAAATCTGATAGCAAAGATAAACCCAAGAAAACCCCACCTCCTGATACTCCTATTCATATAACAGCAAGTAGCGAGCCAGTTCCTATATCTGAAGAATCTGAAGAGCTGGATCAGAAAACATTCAGTATAGTAAGACTTGTTCTTTCCTACTAATGAAGATTTACCAATGCTTTGTGCTTAGGTAGCAGCAGCTAACTAAAGATCTTATGAAAAATGTGACTCACTGTCTCTCATCAGTAGAGGGATCAGCAACTTACAGCTCCGAGCCAAAATCTGGCTCCTGGAAGGGAACTGCCTGAATGATGAAGGAATGGTTGCTGCAAACTATACTTGGCAGCAGTGTTCCCTCTAAGCTGAGTAAGTGTGAGCTACCTCACAGTTTTTTAGCCTCCTGCTCACACATTTTTGTCTCGGCTCAGGAAGGAAGGCTCCAGAGCACACTAACTGATGCAGTAGCCAAATTGCTTGCTCACAACTTTAATGCCAGTAGCTCACAAAGTAAAACTTTTGCTCACAAGACTCCACAGCTTAGAGGGAACATTGCTTGGCAGCAGGGCACTTTATTTATTATTAGTTATTTATGTATTTGAATTGTAGCTCACCCTCCCCGCCAAGGCAGACTCCGGGCGGCTTACATAAAAATTGCAACAGATAAAACAATATAAATGTCTGCATAAAACACAACATAGTTACTAAAACAATTTGTATGGCGATGGCGGTACAGTAGTAGCAGCGTACGTAATAGCCATAGTCAGTGGTAGACTACCCTATTGGCATGCTCAGGCTGGGTGGTGATATTGGCACAGGGTCTTAGATAGTAAGGTGTGGCTCCTTACTTAAAAGCCTGGTGGAAGAGCTCCATTTTACAGTCTCTTCTGGAAGCTCATTCCACAATGTTGGAGCTGCCACTGAAAAGGCCCTGGCCCTGGCCAGGGAGGGCCAAGCGATTTTGAGACCCTGACCGTAGTGCTCTCTGGGGAACATGTGGGGGAAAGTGGTCCCTCAGGTAGGTAGGTCCCTGACCATAAAGGGCTTTAAAGGTAAGCACCAGCACCTTGAAGCGAATTCGGTATGCTTATAGGTAGCCAGTGCAGTGCTTTCAGCACAGGCTGGATGTGCTCCCGCATGGGGAGTTCCAGCAACAGCCTGGCCACTGCGTTCTGCACCAGCTGAAGCTTCTGGATTTGGGTCAAGGGCAGCCCCATGTAGAGAGCATTATAGTAGTCTAATCTCAAGGAGACCATAGCTTGGATCACTATCACCAAGTCATTGCGTTTGAGGAAGGGAACCAACTGCCTAATCAGCCAAAGATGATAAAAGGCTGACTTAGCAGTGGCTGCTACCTGGGCCTCCATCGTTAGGGAGGCATCCAGGAGTACTCCTAACCTCCGATGTTGGCAGCAACGGCACCCCATCAAAGGACAGGAGTGAGATCCCTAACTCTGGGCCACCCCGACTCAGGCATAGGACCTTCGTCTTCATCTGATTCAATTTCAGTCGGCTCAGTCTAAGCCAGCCAACCACGGCCTGCAACACCAGGTCAAGATCTCCCCAGCAGATAGAGCCCCTAATAGATAGAGCTGGGTGTCATCTGCATACTGGTGACAACCCAAGCCATGCCTCTGGACGATCTGGGCAAGGGGGCGCATATAGATGTTAAATAGCATCAGGGAAAGTACCGCCCCTTGTGGCACTCTGCAAACTAGCGGGTGCCTTCGGGACAGCTTTATCATTTGAGGCTTTGTCATTTCATCCTCATTTCCTTTTAAGACCAGCCCTTCGGCAGGCTAGTTGCTGAATAATTTTGTACGATACATGGCAAGGTTGTTTATTGAGCAAATTTTAGCTTATTTCATTGTTGCTGAGCAAATTTTAGGCGTATTCTCAGGCAAACAATATAGTGCTAAATAGCCCCGCCAGAATCTTCTGTATCCTATATTAGCTCAATTCTTAGAGATTCCTGACGATTTTAAGGTTCTGTTTTTGCTTGATAATCAAGATACGGAAATAAACAAAATAGTAGCAAGGTTTCTTCTTAGTGCTATGGCTATACATTCTGAAAAGTAACCATTAGGTTTTTTTGCTTTCATGCTGCTTTTCTGCGCCGTAGCTCCAATTTTACCCTATATGGATTTGTATTTTCCAATCTATATTGAATCTGATTTCCTATTGTATGTATATACGTATGCTAATAAAGGCTTGTCAAAGTATAGTACTAAATAGAATACTATTCAACAAAGAACTTGGACAATCAAGCCTGATATTCTATATATTTCCAAAATAGAATTGAATTATATTTTTAGGACAAACATTTTTAAATGGAGTATTAAAGTTTTAGCAGGGTCTTCATGTTTCCTCTGTATGTATTGTCATTGATAGATTATATGACAGAATTTCATTATCTTAATTGTATGGTACTGTTTCATCATTTTTACAGTGCAAAGAAAGAATGAGGCCTGTCAAAGCAGCACTGAAACAGCTGGATAGACCTGAGAAAGGTCTTTCAGAAAGAGAACAGTTGGAGCATACTAGACAGTGTCTTATCAAAATTGGGGATCATATAACTGAGTGTTTAAAAGAATATACAAATCCTGAGCAAATCAAACAGTGGAGAAAGTAAGTAGCCTCCAAAGGAGCGGGAAATTTAATGACTGTGCATTGCATAGAAGTCCAGGGAGGGTGGGTGGCACAGAGACTCGAGGCAATAAAAAGATCCATGCATTGTGTCCAACTCCTGTGTGCATTTTCCTTGGGAGAGGGGCAAAGTGTTTCTTATTGACAATGTTCTGTTGACGATTAATAAATAAAGTGTATGGAAAATATTCAGAATAGATTCTCACTGATTTATTTTTCTGCCTCAGGGAACACTTGCAGTTACATACAGGAGGGACATCCATAACCCTGGCCTCTGGCTGTATTCAGTGTGTGTTTAGCTATCCCACCACTTTCAAGTCCTGTATTATCCAGTTATCTAGCTTGCTGCATGCGACGGAAGTGCTGCCTGGCAAGCTTTTGAATGCCCAAGTTCCACCTTTATTTAAATAATCTCTTTGTTAGGGCCCTTTTTTAAAGGGGGGGGGGGACACAGTGTGCCTAGAAGGCAGGCACAGTGCTGAAGACAAATCTTTGTGCCTGTTCACAATATTAATGTGTTCTGTATGAGTGTATCTCAAAATGAAAGAAGATTGACATGTTTGAGAAGAAAAATTAAGTTTTGCTATTGTATCATAGTGCAGTCTGTACATTCACCACCAGATGGAGGCTGCACTCTGTTAAATCACTATTGTCATTCTTTCCCAAATTTGGTGAAAATATCATCTGAATATCATCCAAAATGTAGTAAGACAGCTTTATTATATGGTCAGCAGACCTTTCAGTATCAAATAGCTTGCACATTTCCTAAATACTGGAAAGTTTAGCTCCAAGGTGAAAGGTCTGCATGCTGCGGAATTCATATTCTAATTAGTCTGTCACAAATTCTTTGAAATGTATCAGTCATAAAGGATCACAGAGAACTGCTGGAGATATAACTTCCTTTGTGTGTATGTGTGCATGTTTAATGTAGATATTGCAAAGCTAGATGGAGAAATTTTATTTTTGGTTTTTAATGTCTCATAATGGACCCCACAGTAACCCATCCAAATTGTGCTGATGGTAGTGTGCCACTGCATCAATACAATGGAGAACCAAGAATATGCATTAATGACATTTTTAAAAACTGGGAAACTAAATCACTTTTTTCTTTTTTCTGATTCTAGAAACTTGTGGATTTTTGTTTCTAAGTTTACAGAATTTGATGCCAGAAAACTACACAAACTGTATAAACATGCAATTAAAAAACGCCAAGAAACTCAGGTAATGGATAATGTGTTACATGTTCTTAATTTGGATTAGTGGATTGCAGCAAATAAACAATTAGCACGGGAAAATATTTCTAATAAATATTTGAATGGTTATTAAACTCTCATCAAGTTTATTTGAAGTTGTGTTGTTACAAAATTAAAACAATGATAATTTCCCTTATTTCTTTCAGCAGCACAATGACCAAAACAGCAGCAGCAGTGTGAATACTCATTTGATAAGAAATCCAGGTAAGAAACTCTTGCAGAATGTTTTCAGATGTTTGAAGAAATCGTATGATCTTTGAAATAAGAAATAACAACATAAAGTTAAATAAATCATGAAGTAAGCCACCTTGAGCCAAAAGACAAGCTGGGTATAAATAGCTTAATAAATAAAATAGAGTGTGTGTTCCATATAGAGGTTATGTTTATTTGTTTTTGAGATTTCTATCCTGCCATACCCTGCAAGCGGACTTAGGATGGGTCACAACAAGTAAACAGTTAAAATACACAATACATTCAATTTAAAAACTATAAATCCCACAATACAGTACATGATGACGAGCTCCATGCTGTATACTATATATGTCCCAAAGGGCTGGCCTACCAGAAGGTGGGTAAAATGTCTGCTGATGGAACAATTAAAGTGCATAGCACAAGACAAGCTGAGGCGGAGTAGGGCAGGGGAGGCCAATGTAATTTGACATCCATAGCGTCAACCAAAAGCCTGGCGGAACAACTCCGTTTTACAGGTCCTGTGGAAATGTACTAAGTCCCATAGGGCCCTGCTCTCACTAGGGAGAGCGTTCCACCAGGCCCGAAGCTAGAGCCAAAGGCTGTGGTTCTGGTTGAGGCCAAACAGATGTCTTTTGGGCTGGGGATTACCAGCAAGTGTTGGTCAGCCAAACTTAAGGCTCTTCGGGGAACATATTGGGAGAGGCGGTCCCGCAGATATGTTAGCCCCAGACCACATAGGGCTTTAAAGGTTAGTACCATCACCTTGAACTTGATCTGGTACTCAACTAGAAGCCAATGCAGCTGGCGAAGCACTGGCTGTATATGCACCCCACAAGGGCATCCCAGCCAGCAGGCGCACTTCTGCATTTTGCACCAGCTGAATTTCCAGGTCAAATTCAAGGGCAGCCCCGTGTAGAGCGAGTTATTGTAATCCAGCCTGGAGGTGACCATTGTGTGGATCACTGTAGCTAGGTCATGGGAGGAGAGATAGGGGACCAGCTGAAGATGATAAAAAACTGATCTGGCAACAGTAGTGACCTGGGCCTCCATTGACAATGAGGCATCCAGAATCACGCCTAATGTCCTCACTGTTGGCATCAAAGGTACCCCGCCGAGGGTTGGAAGTTGGCTCCCCAATCCCACCCCCTACAGCTCAGGTGCAGGATCTCCGTCTTTGATGGATTAGCTTCAGTCAACTGTGCTGTAACCAACTAGCCACAGCCTCCAATGCCCTGGCCAAAATATCTGGACCAGAGAGTCCAGCCAGCCGTCCATCAACAGATATAGCTGGGTGTCATCAGCATACTAGTGACAACCCAGACCAATCCCCCGGATCAGCTAGACGAGAGGGTGCATATAGATGTTAAATAGAGGGTGCATATAGATGTTAAATAGAGTAAGGAGGAGGTGTAACCCAATGTAAGGATACCTTCCTCTACTGATGGAGCACATTTGCTTTTCTCACCAGTGCCTCCTTTAAGGGCTATGGGAAGTTCCCTGAGCTCAGGGACTGATTGATAATATTTCCTAGGGGTATCCGTATCCTGTCACTGCTGGCCTTTACCAACCATGACAGGCACGGGTCAGTGAGGCAAGTGGTGGGCTTCACAGCTGTCAGGATCCTGTCGACCTCATCCTGGGAGAGTTGGCTGACCTGGTCCAATATTGGACCAGAAGACAGCCCAGGGGCCTCCGGTTCACTTACTGCATTAATATGTAGTCTTCTGTTTCTAAAAACCTGGATCAGTATATATACCATCAAGGCTTAATGGTTTTCCAGTACAAAGAAACAGTAATTTTTTGAAGCAACAAGATTTAGAAGTATCTTCAAGCCTTAAAAAGTCAGTAGCCATCTCCTCCACCTCCCACCTGAGAGCTGCAGTGATGGAACAAAAGAGGAAAGAAATTCTGCTCCTATTGGGAGTGTTTTGCTGCTGTAGCTCCTGAAGTCCAACCATACAGACCTCCCAGGGCCAGTGACAAGCCAGTGTGAAGCTGGCCAGCAACCTTTCCTCTGCTGCCCCTCCATTGCCAAAGGCTCAGTAGGGATGGAGAACATAACAGCCAGCTGTCCCCCATGCCAAAGCTCTCACAGTGATTGGGCCCAACAAAGGAGCCTCCACTGGCAGCCTGTCTCCTAGCAACCATAAAAGGCTTGGAGGCCTCAAGGGCCACTCCCTCCTTCTACCCTGTTCATTTCCATGACCCAGGAGAGCAACTGGGGAGGCAGCTTTCCAAGCGTTCTTCTTTGGGGAAGGGCTTCTCTTGTGCTTCTGCACCGATGATGCTTGATGGGGCTTCTCTTCACCTGGATATATGCTGTTGGATTACCCCGAAAGTGGTAAAGGATGTGCAGCAAGGGCTGCTGCCCAAAAAAAGGAGTGGGGGGAGGTATCTCAGGCAGAGGGAAGAAATGTCTTTCTTCCCTGTACCCTTCCCGCAGAAGGATGCATAAAAAGACATTCACGAGCCATTGGCACCACTCTTCAGAGGAGCCCAGGTCCTACTTCCCAGATCCCAGGGCCTCCTCCCGTACAAGTGCAGTACCACACTGCCTAGTTAAACAGATTTGTCGCATTTAGGCTCAGATACCATGGATTCTAAGAAGGAAGGGTAATGGTTGAAAGAGGATACGTCTTCTTTAGGGTCAGCTTCCCTAAGGATCTTCTAGCAGGAGTATTTTCCTCTTCTCTGTCACTGGAGGAAAGGACCCACAATATTGGATTATGCCTCCTCTTTGCTCCTCAGGCTGGGCTTATGCAAATATATATTTTTAAGGCTTCATCTGTCAATTGAAGGGGGACACTGTCCATGTACTGCTGACTCTGTGGCTGTACAAGCTTCCTCAGCTCGCCCACTTAACATAAAGACTGAGAGAGTAAGAAAACAAAAATGCTGAAACACCAAGAAATTGGCCACTGTCATCTTCTGCCTCCGGCCTAATATTAATAGCAGTGGGGATGAAGAGAGAGAAATCCTCTTGCTCTCAACAAGAGTTCCCAGCTTTGCTGGGAGCACTACTCATCCCGTTTTGGAGCAGTCTGTGTAGCAGCTGCTCCTCTCTCCCCCTCTGAGGCTTTGGTGGGAATAGGGAATGTGCAGCCATGCCGTCCTGCGCTGAAATGTCAGCAGTGGATAGGTCCGACCTTCCTTTGTATGTATGTCAGTGTTGGCAAATTAGACTATTTAGTTTACAGAAATGTCATTTTTGTTTATCTAAAAAAAGGGCTAGTTATTTATGCTGTCTGAAAGTCTGCAGTGAACAAACCTCTGTATTTCTATGTATGCAGATGTGGAACGACTAAAAGAAAACACAAATCATGATGATAGTAGCAGAGACAGTTATTCCTCTGATAGGCACTTATCACAGTATCATGATCATCACAAAGACAGACTTCATGGAGATGCCTACAAAAAAAGTGACTCTAGGAAAAGGCCATATTCTGCTTTCAGCAATGGAAAAGATCATAGGGATTGGAATCACTACAAACAAGACAACCGGTGAGTTCAGTGTGATTCAGTTTGTGGAATTCATGCACGTAGAAGGGGTAGCTCTCCTTAGAATGCACTGAAAGAAAATGGATATATAGACAAGGAGGCATCATCCTTACAAGTCAAAGCAAGTCAAAGCTTGGTACAGTGGCTAAGAGTGGAAAGATAGTGGTAATCAGAAGCCAAGAATCCCATTTCTGGAAGGTGTTGTCATTTTTTGTCCCCTCTTCATATCAAATAACTTAGCCTTTCTTTTAAGAAACTAAGTAAATTAAGTAATTTTTTAAAAATAATTAATTTAATTTAATTATTAATGCAGTTCTTATGAAATACTGTTTAAGCTTGCTTTCTCTAGTATTTTATTTTCTTATTTTTTAGATACTACAGTGATGGTAAACACAGAAAGCTAGATGACCACAGGAACAGAGATCACAGGTCTAATCTGGAGGGAAGTTTAAAAGACAGTCGATCACATTCAGATCATCGGATACACTTAGATCATCGGTCCAGTTCAGACTACAGTCATCATAAATCTTCAAGAGACTATAGATACCATTCAGACTGGCAAATGGACCACAGAGCTTCTAGTAGCGGCCCTAGATCACCACTAGATCAAAGATCACCTTATGATTCAAGATCTCCCTTAGGACATAGATCTCCTTTTGAACATTCAACAGATCACAAAAGTACACCTGAACATATGTGGAATAGCCGGAAAACATAGCAAATACTAACAATTTCTGGACTTTTTCTTTTCTTTTTTTAGCCATACACAATAAACTAACACAATTGCCTTACATGACTTGAAAGACATGGACCGGATGTGCTATCAGTAGCAGTATTGTTACTACTTTCCAGTATGCTAGTTGTATTATCCCAACAGAAGAAGAAATATTTTTGTATTTAAAGTTTTAATGCTGCACTGTGCTGCAAATGTTGTAGTACATTTTTTTAAAAGAATTTGAAGATGTTTACTTTTTACAGGGACCTCAACACTGCCCCACTCAGACTGGATCTTAATCTGAACTCTTTTCAAAGTGGTTTTATCTTGAATGCAAGTTAAATTATGTTTGTAGATAAGCATTCACGTATTAACCTGTGATCATATTTCAGGAAGGAATCGAGGATTTTTAAAAAAAAGACTCAAGGACTTTGTTAACTTTCCAAAGCTACTTGTTTACATTGTACACTGCATCCACCTTGCCGCTTTTCATCACAAGCTTGAATATTTAAATTCTGTTACTAGATAATTGTAAAATAGCCAGGCGTTCTCCAGTTTGATCAGCTGTAATGCCTTTTTACAAAATGGCTGTAAATTATTGTAAATTAATTAAATGCGTTTTCCCCCTTCAGACTTTTCTAACTTGACTGCCTTGATCAAATCTAAAAATACTATTTTTAAAAATAAAATAACTGATGGATGTGGTTCTCTGATCATAAAAAGGAACTTCTTTGCCCTTTCTAGTAGCAGTTTTATTTTAAACAATTACTAATAAACTGAAATTATGCTCCTGTGAAGTACTATACTATATAATATGGTATTATATAAATATAAGATCTTCAACATAGTCTCTGTGCTTCACACCCATTGGATACAGTGTGCCTGCACTGGATAAATCGGTATTGTAGCAAGATCTAACAGATTTTTGCGCCCAGACCTCAGGCATGTGCAGGAACCCCCACCACAAATGCCCAGAGGGATGAGCGTGGACATCCCGCCAGTTCCTTTCCGCAGTGCTAGAAGCACCTTTCCTTGGTCGGTCAGATTGGTAGCTATTTTCCTCAGCAACTGGTGGCCGTTCACTGCCTCGCGACCCGGCCCATCTCTGAGGGCGGGGCGGGGGGTCCAGCATCTCGTCTCCCCCCCCCGAAATGACCTCTGCTCCCATCAGAAGTCCTGTCGTCCCCTGGGACCTTCCCCTAGTACTTCGCCAACTCACCAGAAAACCTTTTGAGCCGCTCGCAACTTGCGACATAAAATTCCTGTCCTGGAAAACAGCCTTTCTGGTGGCTGTCACTTCAGTGAGGCGAGTTGGGGAAATACTGGCTTTCAGACATGATTCTCCTTACTTGTAATTTTTGCCAGATGGCGTCTGCCTTGTACCTGACATCTCGCTCTTGCCTAAGGTAGTTTCAGAATTTCACCTACAGAGGTCTTCCTCCCGGATTTCTTCCCTGCTCCGGCATCCCCAGAGGAGAGACTGTTACACACTTTGGATACGAAGCGTGCGCTTCTGTTCTACCTAAACAGAACCCGTCCAACGAGATGTGACTGCCAACTGTTAGTTTCCTATGCCCCAGCAAGGCTGAGAACCCGCATCACAGCTCAGCGTTTGTCAAGGTGGATTGTAGGTCTCATCCGCCTCTGCTACCTTATTGCTAAGCAGCCATTGCCTGGCCCTATCAGGGCTCATTCAACTCCAGCTGTTGCAGCCTCAAATGTCTTTCTGCAGGGAGTTCCCCTAATGGACATTTGCAGAGCCGCTACCTGGGCTACGCCTAATATGTTCATAAGGCACTACACCCTGGATGTCCGCAAGAACTCTCATACCAACATGGGACATCATATCTTATCTTTGGCTTCGCAGTAATGACCTGCCAGCACCCTCCTCCAGGTAGGCCACTGCTCACTAATCTCCCATGGGTGTGAAGCACAGAGACCATGTCGAAGATAAACAGGTTGCTTACCTGTAACTGGTGATCTTTGAGTGGTCATCTGTGCATTCACACCACCGCCCTCCTTCCCTGCTGCTGTCAGCTTCTACATTTCTCATAAGGGTTGATTTGCGACAGTTTGAAGGAACTGGCGGGATGTCCACACCCACCCCTCTGGGCATGTGTGGTGGGGGTTCCTGCGCATGCCTGAGGTATGGTCACGTAAATCCGTTAGAGTTTGCTACAATACCGATTGATCCAGCGCAGGCGCACTGTATCCCATGGGTGTGAATGCACAGATGACCACTCGAAGATCACCAGTTACAGGTAAGCAGCATGTTTATTGTTGTGGTCCTATTGGAGTTTAGTAGCATAAGCAAGTCTTGCGTGGATTTAAAGATGTCAGCATGCACAGTAATATCTCTTTATAGAGCCACACTTCTATGAATTAGAATTATACTAACAAGCATACTTCAATAAAGACAGGACTGTTACAGGCTTTCTTCTGCTAATTCCCAAGATCACTAACAAAAGGACAGATTGCTCAATACTGAATGTCAATGTAAAATGCTCAATAAATGGAGGGCAACAGTTAATCTATATAATCCAATTAATCCTAAATCACAGTTTGAAATAAATTATGTACAATAGTTGTTGTTGAGAGATGTGAGACCCTGGGGGGGGGGGATGGAAAAATTCAGGGGGGAGCCCCTTTTCTATTTCGTCCCCCAAGACTTAAAAAAAAATTCACTGGAAAATTTGGGGAACACTGAAAAGAAACTCCTATGAAACACTTTTGTCTTTTTGAGTGAGGAAATGCCTTAAGCATTCACTCATTCTAAAGGTACAGGATGAAGAAGTCTGAGAACTTTGTCGATTTTTCTCTTTGGAAGTTTGGGAGGGTGCACTAAACCAAGAGGTAGACATATATATTATGTCAGTTTTTTTGTTTATAATTTGGCAACAATTAATAAGTTTGAGTAAAGTGGCACCTTTAAGACCAACTATGTTTTATTCTGGGTATAAGTGTGCACTGAAACAGAAGTCACTAACCATTACATATAGGTAAAGTGTAGGAAGGGTGTTGCCAGGAAGGGCTAATTGGAGTCAAAATGCATGGTCTTGAAGGTGCCACTGGACTCTAAAACTTTGTTCTGCTGCTTCACACCAAGACAGCTACCCACTTGAATCTATACTATAATGTTTTTGATGATTATTCTTGAAGAGTTTGGTGTTTTCAGTGCTATGAAGTTTAGCTTAATATCCAATCATGCTAGTGGTCCTGTCTATTGTAACACTGAGAGAATTATGTCTTCAACTTTTTCCCTTCCTCTCATATGGCAAAAATTGAAGATACGTGTGCTAGGGATAGTATAGCATGCAGTATTGGATATACTTAAAAATTCTCTCAGAAAATGAAGATATTTATAGTTTTAAATTCTGTAAATATGCCAAATAGTACATTTTTATATGCTAAGTTATAAATGAAGTATTTTATGTTGTTCAATCAGAAGTAGTTTAGGAAAGTAAGTCATATATTTCAATTTTTCTTAAAATGTCATTGTGCTTCCAGGAAATAATTTTTCCCCGTGGCTTCAAAATTTCTGCAAACTTTATATTTCTATGGCTGTCATATGACAAGAGAAACTGAATATAAAGACATTGTCTGGTTATTATAATAATGAGCTTGTAAAACAGTATTGATTTGAAGTATGTTATTACCTGATGAACTCAGCTGTTTTTCTAGTGATGCTGAAATTCATAATCTTGTTTAGAATATGAATTTGTATAGTTATAATGTTCAAGTGTATACAGGTTTTCTACTTTGGAATACAAAACAAGATTCTGTACATGCACAGATTATGTTTATCTATATAAAAGAAAGTCCCCTCACCGTAAAATCAACACCCAGGCCAAACTGCTGGACCTAGACACACCAAATTCAAAGAGAGCGCTCCTACCATGGCGTAGGTGCTCGCTAAGAAGGGATTTTTAGAAATTCGACCCCTAAGTGCGTCAAAAGACAGGTTCTCACAAAGTATATTGTTTATTAATAGCCTTTTTTAAAAACAGTAGTTTAATAGGGAATGATCTCCTAACCTCAGCTCAGTCTTCCTCCGTCCAAAGGGATAAAACCGCCAGTCTTAAGCCTCTTCCTCTCTGGTCTCGCCCTCAGGGCCCAGTGGCATCTCAAAGGTTTCTTGATTGTGAAGGGAAACTCAAGCTCTTTTTTCTCAGCAGGATTTAAGATGACACTTTCTAAGAACACTTGCAAGGAAGGAGTTAAGTCCTTGTAAATCTTTCCTGTTTCTCTTGTGCTTTTTCTCCTTTTCTCATTGAGATCGCTGTTTAATTTAGTGTCCATCTCATTCGCTTTGAAAGCCCTCAGTTTAATTTTTTTTGCTATCGTTGCCAACTGGAGCTGCTGGGACACAAATTGTTGGTTTATCTTGGCAAGCTGCTGTTGCTCCAGAATTGGCTTGGTGGCTTCTGCTACAAGTGCAATGACGTCTACTTCCCTTTTTCTCGGAGTTGGTTTCGCTATCTATTTTGGAGTGCCTGCCATTTTAACGTTTTATTTTCAATAAAATCTCTTTCTTCCCGGCTCTGAAAATTGCATACGCTGTTTAAATGCTTATGGATATCTGCCACAATAGGTTTGCACGCTTGTAAATAAAGTCAGAAGTATCCGTTTACGACTGTCTCTCTCTCTCCCCCTCTCCCCCTCCGTTTATGTAAATGCCTCAGAGAGGCATCCCTCTCCAATCGCTTAAGGGGTTTCAGGGGGGGGATTTCGCTTCAAGTATCCGTTTACAATCGTTTCTCCTCTCCCCCCCCTCCTCCGTTTATGTAAATGCATCTGAGAGGCGTCCCTCTCTCAGCAGGGTTCCAATCGCTCAGAAAGCTTTTTCTTTGGGGGGGGGATTTTCTCTTCTGAAGACAAATTACTCATTTTCACTCACAGTTCGCTCCTTAACTCACAGTTCATTGTTGGTCTTTATCTTGACCATGCTCTTAATCGCTCCTCTGCTAGATCTCCTGCGCTTGACCGGATCGACACAGCTTGTGGCCTCGCTAAGAGGACGCAGTCAGCGAGAGGGACTGTCAGGGCGGAGGGGAGCCTCCATCTCCCTGCAGTTAGCAGGAAAAGAGGCTCACCCTCAAAAGCCCTATGGCCTGGGAGTTCCCCCCAAACTCCCGTGGGGGTGCCGATCCAGCGGCACCTTTCCCTCCCCCCGCTGCTGTGCGGTGCGCCTTCCCAGAGAGCTGGGAAAGGCGTCCGCCATCGTTGTGCCGTAGACTTCAGTTCTTACACTACAATCTTCTCTGTTACAATTCCTACAAGTGTCACATTTCAAATTTCACATCATCAGTATTATAACGATTTATGGAACTTAAATACCATAGCGAAGCATGGGTAGCAGACTAGTTAAGTATATTGTTACCTAAATTTTGGTCAGAAATCTATTAACCTCTGTCCAAGGAAGTTTCTTAATTTACAGCTTTAAGAACCCTTTTTATTAGTTTCTCAGAGGCATAGCTGTATTAGTCTGTTGCAGCAAAAAGTAAACATGAAAGTCTTATTCTAGCATAAGCTTTTGTGAACTAGAGCCACTTTTGCAGATGCAATGAGTGGATCCTCACTATGCAGACATTTATATAGAAGGTATGGGAGGGACAGTGCCAAGTGGCCATGAAGCACAAGAT